CGCCGCAAGCGTCGAGGACGGCCAGCGCGCCCGTGTCCTCCCACATGCCGAAGATCGGCGTCGCCGCGACGTCGTTGCCCACGGCCACCTGGGGCGAGTGGCCGTCGTCGACGTCGTAGAGGCAGCTCAGGCGCTCGTGGAAGTGGTATTCGTGCGTGTGTCCGCCGCAGAGGTCGAGGAGCGACACGTAGTCGTCGCCGTCGAAGCGCGGCAGCTCGATGCCGCACTGGTGCGCGATCATCGACTCCGCCGTGACCGTGTCGATGCCGCCGGCGACGTGGCCCAGGGACCCGTCGCTGCAGCCCAAAGCTTCGAGGATGTTGCTCTGGGCGTCGCCGAAGCCCGCCTCGAAGAGGCCGTAGATCTCCTCGCCCGCGTGGCCGGGCGCGGAGCTCATCCACTCCTTGTGGGGGAGCACGTCCACCGTCGTGTAGGCGACGGCGCCGACGAGCGGCGCCGCGTGGCCCGAGACGGCGCCGCCGCCGCCGCCGCCGCCGCCGCCGCCGCCGGGCGGGCCGCCGCCGGGCGGGCCGCCGCCGGGCGGAGGGCCGCCGCCGCCGCCGGGCTGCGCCTGGGCCGAGGCGAACAGGGCGACGATGGCGAGGGCGTGCTGCTGCATGGTGGTGGTGGCCTGTGGTGGTGGCCTTGCGGTGGTGCTCGCTGGTCGCGGCTTGCTGATGGTTCGCGTTGGCAGCGGACCTCTGCTTTGGGCTGTTGAAAGCCGACCATTTTCTCGGCAGCCTGTAGTTCAGTGCGGCAATCTCTAGGCATTCCTACATTCAAGAATCGAGTTTCTTCAGCTTCGGCTTGGCAGCCCGATGATGATGAGGCAGCTCTTCTTCTGAAAGCCGTGCCTTTGTAAGGAGATCAGCCCGTTCAAAAAAACTCAGCAGCCCGCGCGCCGCCATGGCGACGATGCACTCGGGCCCGCCGATGCCCCAGGTGCAGACGTCGAAGGACCTCGAGGGCCGCTTCAACCACTGGCAGTGGACCGACGCCGCGGCCAACGAGGAGCTCGAGAAGCCGAAGAAGAAGATCAACTACAAGAAGGCGAACAAGTGGCGCGAGGAGCACGGCCTGCCCCTCTGGAAACTGCCGGACGAGACGGAGAAAGAATAGCGACGCGCGCGACGCGTGACGGCGGCGGCGCGGGCGCGCCCCCCGCGAGACTCGCGGCGACGCGCTCGACGGATGCTCGCCGCGCTCGACAGAACGGCCTCGGTAGAAGCCAGCCGCTTCTCGCGCCGCGCCGCCTCCGCGCGCGCCCCGGCCGCGATGCCGGACGTCGCGCGCGCGCGCGCCGCCGCCGGAGTCGAGACGCGATAATTATGACGTGTGCGAGAGCCAGGCCTCGGGCGCGTGGGCGCCCTCGCCGTTGACGGAGGTGATGGGCAGGACGCGGTAGAGGCCCGACGTGCCGCCCGAGGCGGACGTCCAGTCCTCGATGTGGGGGAGTTTGATGATGGCCTTGGTCTCGCCGCCGTCGGCGTCGGTCTCGAAGGCGTAGGAGTTGGAGGCGAACTGCGTCTTGTAGACGGACGTGAAGGCCGTGAGCATGTGGCGCGTGTCCGGCACGGGGACGACGTCGCCGCCGTTCTTGTTGAAGACGTCCATGGCCTCGAGGTGGAGGCTGGAGAGGACGCCGTTGTTCGGGAAGGAGTAGTCGTAGGCCTTGGACGCGGAGCCGCTCGCCGCGTCGAGGACGTAGCAGACGCCGCGGCTGTAGCAGTAGTAGTCCACGGACTCGGACTGCTCCTCGCAGGCGTCGCGGAAGTAGCCCTCGTCCATCAAGCAGAGGCGCTGAGTGCCGTTGACCGTGTCGAGCACGGCGTCGTGGGGGTCCCAGAAGCGGTCGCTCGGGCTCGCGAAGGAAAAGTCGTTGCGCTCGAGCACGGAGCTGAACTGCCACACGAGCTCCAAAGACGTCCGGTTGATCGCGATGACCGTGTGCAGGTTCCGCAGCGTGACGACGTACAGATCCTCGTCCGGCGCGAGGGACACGGACGACACGTGGAAGTACATGAGGTAGCTCCCCGTCGCCGCCACCGCGCCGTCGACGTCGACGATCTCCATGATGACCTTCTCGTTGTCGCCCTCGCCGTCCAACGCCTTCACCGCGTCCTCCAGCGACACGTAGTCCGAGACCCAGACCAACTCCGTCACGGGCTCGTCTTCCACAAACGGGTCCCACAGCAGGAAGAACTCCTCCGCGAGGTAGTGGATCGACTCGTCCTCGACTTCCAATTTCTGCGAGCCCACGTCCGCGAGCGCGAAGCCCGTCGTCACGATCTGCCCGCCGCGCGTCGCGCGGCACTCGTGGCCCATGAAGGTCCACGACTCCAACGCCGTCCCGTTCTTCGTGCGGTTCGACACGTGCTCCGGTAATAAAGTAGCCCCGACGGAGCCCGCCGCGTCGGCGACGAAGACGGACACCGTGTTCTGGTCGTTGACGCAGAAGTGGGCCGTGTCCCGCATGGACGTGAACTGGGAGAAGGCCTCGACGTGGGCGCCCGGCGCCGAGATCGTCCGGTTGAAGTACCACACCGCGTAGCCCGCGCGGTCCACCGCGACCAAACCCCGGAACGAGTCCGTCTCGCCGTCCATGTAGGGGAACAAGAGCAGCTCGAACGACGGATCGCCCTCGATGCGCACCATGGGCCCGTTGTCGAACTTGTTGCAGCCGACCGCGTTCGACTCGAAGGTCTGCTCCGCGACCACCACGATCTTATCGAAGCCCTCGGCCTTGAGCCGCACGCGCGCGACGTACTGCGTGTGGGGCCGCAACCGGTAGAGCTCGACCTCCGTCGCCGCCGACGACACCTCGTGCTCCCGCGAGTAGACCGCGTACTCGGCCGCGTCGAGCGGCCAGTACGACACGACGAAGCTCGCGGCTTTCGGGAACGCGACGGACGTCTTGACGGACAGGTGGCACCGCAGGTTCGCGCAGTTCAATACTTTAATCTCCCAGGCGCTCGGGTCCATGGCCGCGTCCAGCGTCGCCTCCCGCTCGAGGATCGACGCCCGCCGCAGCACGAGGCCGCATGTGATGGCTAAGGCATAGAACGCGACCCAGATGAAGTTCCGCTGCTGTTTCGGCGTGCCGCAGAGCGTCGCGTCCTTGGACAGCTCGAGCTTCGTTTTCCGCCCCTCGAGGAGGGTCGCGTCCTCCGCCATGGCGGCGACAGCCGTCTCGGAGCAGCCCCAGACGACGACCGCGAATGCCTGCCGATACAACCGACGGTGCAGGGCACGGGCAATCATTTCTGCCACTGGCACGCGACGACATGGCCGAAGTGGTTCGTGTGGGCCGGCGGCCCCGGGACCGCGCGGCCGTCGCCGCCGCGAGCCAGGGGTTCGCCTCGTCGGCCGCGTCGTCGGCCGCGGCGGGCGCCGCGGGCGCCGCGGGCGGTAACCGGCGGAAGCGAAAGAAGAAGCGCGGCGCGCCCGCGCGCACTTCCCAGACGCCCGGATCCCCCACGGTGGACCTCGGCGGCGGCTACGACGCGACCTTCAAGCTGAAGCACGCCCCCGTGGCGCGCGTCGACTCTTCCGTCCAGTTCGAGGCCCTCCTGCGGTCCCTGAGCGAGCGCGCGGCGGAGAGCGAGGAGCGCTGGTGCCGCTGCCCGCGGTCGCCCTGGATCCGCGAGCTCTACGGCGAGCTCGACGCGAAGACGGCCGCGGAGGTCCGCGCGACGTGCGAGGCGCCCGGCGACGGCGGCGACGGCGAGTCGACCTCCGCGTCGGGCCGCCGCGACGAGGCCTTCCTCACGCGCTGGAGCGCCAACGAGGCGCTGGCGAGCGAGATCGTCGACGCCTGGTTCGAGACCCGCGGGTTGGACGACGTGCTGCGGCGGAGCGCGGCGCTCGGCCACGGGTCGCTCGGCAGCGGCGTCGTCCTGAGCGGCGAGCTCGTCGCGGGCCTGGCCACGGGGCGCGACGTGTCGGTGACGGAGGTCGCGCGCATGGTCGAGAAGCTCTCGCCCGACGCGACGAGCCTGTTCAAGGTGAAGCGGGAGAACCGGTTCGTCTGCGAGGGCGACGCCACCATTCCCACATCGGACGTCGCGGGGAGGCTCCGGGACCGGGAAGGCGGCCACGGGTCGCTGGACACGACCTGGGACTACGGCGCGTCGGGCCCCCGGAGCGGCGTGCGGCTGCTCGACGAGTACTACGACCGCGTGTCGGAGACGCTCTTCGACTTCGACGACGACGGCGACGTCGTCCGGCTCAACCCCAAGGCCTACCTCATCTTCAAGCAGCCGCGCTACTGCACGCCCCACCACCAGGACGTCCACGTGCCGCCCCACTTCACGCTCTACAACCAGGTGTCGGGCTTCTCCGTCTTCCACTTCCTGCCGCTGCTGGTCGGGCTCTACGCGCACCACGTCGGCGTCAACTCCGGCCCCGCGGCGCTCGCGGGCCTGCTCCGGGACCTCGAGCGGCGCCGCGTCGGCGAGGTCGCGACGGTGGGGCCGGGCCAGATGCTGCTGATCCTGCCCTTCGGGTCCCACGGCGTCTTCGTGCCCGACGTCGCGAAGAACGCGCACCTGGCCCGCTTCGACCTTTCGTTGATCCGCGCCGTCGAGATCTACCTGCGGCCCCTCTACGTCGCGAAGCGCAACGACGACCCGGACCTCGAGCCCCTGGATTTACTGGATGCGGCGCCGGCGAGCTCCGGGGGGGAGGAGGACGAGGACCCCGTCGACGAGTGCATCGAGTTCATGCTCCTGGCGGTGGAAGACGCCGCGGAGCGCCGCAAGTCGCGCGAGCGGCGCCTGCGGTCGCTGCGGTCCTCGGCGGCGCGCGACGAGGCGCTGCAGCACGCGGCCGCGGACGCGGCGCGCGCGGAGCGCGACGCCGCCGCGCGCGTCTACAAGGCCGCGGCGCGGCGCCGCGACCGCGAGCGCCGCCGCGACCGCGCGTCGCCGTCCGCGACGCCGCCCCCGAAGCCCCCGCGCCACTGCGGCCGGCGGCCCCTGCTTTAATAAGCAGCACTGTTGACATTTTAGGATCCCGCGCGGGCGCGGCGCCCTAGCCGAAGGGCGTGATCTTGTACTGGATCTTGATGAGGGCCGCGACCTCCTTGATCTTCGCGACCGCGTCCTCGAGGTCCGCGCGCGTGTGGCCCGCGGAGACGCAGAACCGCGCGCGCGATTTCACGAGCGTCGTCGCCGGGAAGCCCACGACGACGACGGCGAGGTCGCGCTTGAGGCACTCGCGGGAGAAGGCGGCGATCTTCGTCGGGTTGTAGAGGAGCACGGGGATGATGGGGCTGTCGTAGTCGCCGTAGACGTGGAGCCCCGCGTTGACGAGCTCCTTGCGGAAGTAGTTCGAGTTGTCCTTGAGGTCCTGGATCTTCGACGCCCCCAGGTCCGTGCCGTCGCCCATGATGATCTCCGTGGCCCGGAGCACCTGCGCGCACATGACCGGCGACCTGTGTGGAAATCAACCGGTGGAACGCCCTGTCCGGCAAAAACTTCAAACCTCTCTCTCTCGCTCAAATCGAAGTCGATTCGGCTGATTTTTGGACGAATCGATTGCTCTCGTCGAGTTCTCGAAGCACAGCCGAAGTGCTTGCATCGAAACGTCCGCACACACACACACATTGAAGTCGGGTTGAAGATTTGATTTGCACACGGCGGGCGACATCGCGTCGTGGTTCAGGATGCCCGGGCACGCGACGCGCAGGTGGTCGACGACGGCCTTGGACGCCGCGACGTAGCCGCCCATGCCCCCGAAGGACTTGGTGAAGGTGCCCATGAGGATGTCGACGTCTTTCGGGTCCACGCCGCAGTGCTCGCACGCGCCGCGGCCGTTCGCGCCGAGCGCGCCGATCGAGTGCGCCTCGTCGAGGTAGAGGTAGGCCTTGTAGCGCTTCGCGACGGCGGCGATGGCCTTCAGATTGCAGATCTCGCCCTCCATGGAATAGATGCCCTCGACCATGACCAGGATCTTCTTCCAGGGCCGCCGCGTCCGCGGCGCGCCCATGGAGACGGCCTCCCGGAGCACGGCCTCGAGCGCCTCGGCGTCGTTGTGCTTGAAGGAGCGGATCAGAGCGCCGGACGCGCGGCAGCCGTTGACGATGGACGCGTGGTTGAGCTCGTCGGAGACGACGAGGTCGCCCTTGCCGACGAGCGCCGGCACCGTCGTGCTGTTCGTGCCGTAGCCCATGTTGAAGACGACCGCGTCCTCCTTGCCCACGAAGGCCGCGACGCGCTCCTCGAGCGTGCGGTGGAGCGCCGTGGTCCCCAGGTCCGACCGCGACGACCCGCAGGAGATGGGCCAGTCGTCGACGGTCCGGAGCACGGGGGGCCCGCACGTCGCCATCCAATCGTCCGCGAAGCCGAGGTAGTTGTAGGACCCGAGGTTCAGGCACCGCTGCGTCTTGCCCGTCTTCTCCAATTCCTTCGTCGCCGGGTCCGTCGCCCGGCTCTGGACCGTGATCCACGCCGACGGGCTGCTGCAGATGGGCCGGTTGAAGACGTCGATGATCCGGTCGTAGAGCCGCCGCGTGTAGAAGTTCTCCCACGACTTGAAGAGCGGCGCGAGCTTGGCGCGCCCCGCGCCGGAGGGCAGCAGCGTCTTCCAGCGCGTGCGGCCCGACGCGCGGCCCCAGAAGTCGCGGAAGTGGCCCACGACGATGAGGAGCATGTAGGCGAAGTAGGTCGTGAACTCCGTAAAGTAGGACATCTCCGCCTCGTTGTCCGTCGGCGGGCGGTCCATGACCTCTTCTGGCACCATGCGCATGTCCGTCCCCGGAGGCGGCGGCGCGTCGCGCGCGGCCAAACTTTGCACACCGGCGTCGACGCAGACGCGATCGGCCGAGGGCGAACGGCATCGACGGCTTTTTGAACCCGAGTTTGCCGCAGCTCTCGAGCTGCTCCGCCGACGTCGCCGCGCGGCCCAAAAACCTGGAGCTGTGGATCTGGTTCCTGGTCGCCTTCGTCGTCGGCATCCCGGCCTGCGCGCAGCTCAACTGCTGGATCGAGAAGAAGCGCGACGAGTGCGACCGGAAGTCGCGCGACGATGCACACGCCGGAGTACCTTGAGGAGCGCCTGCGCTACGAGTTGAAACAGCAGGAGCCCGCGTATGACCTGAAGACGACGCCCCAGCTGCCGTTCGCGCAGGACGAGGAGAACTACACGATGGAGGCCTGGAAGGACGGCGCGCCCGCCGTGCCGCCGCTCTTCGAGGACGTGACGCAGCGCCCGCCGCCGCCGCCGCCCGCGCCCCACACGATCCTCGTCATCGGCGCGGCCGGCGCCATCGGGCGGCGGCTCGTCGCCGCGCTCGCGGACTACGAGCCCGGCTGCGTCGTCTGCGCCCTCCGGCGCACGCCGCTCGACGAGCCGCTCGCGTCCAAGGTGACCTGCGAGTTCGGCGTCGACGTGCGCGACGAGGCGACGATCCGGGCCGTCGTGCGCAAGTACAAGGCCACGCTCACGACCGTGTGGAACCTCGCGGCGCCGCTGAGCGTCGACACGGCCAGGGACCCCTCCGTCGCGCGCGACGTCACCGTCGGCGGCATGGAGCGGCTCCTCCGCGCCATGAAGGAGGAATCGTCGGCCACCCGCATGCTCTTCAGCGACAGCATCGGCTCCTTCGGGGGCGCGGCGCCGCGCGAGGACGCGACGGCGCGGTGGCTCGCGGAGCACCCCGAGCAAGACCCCGGCTCCGACTACGGCCGCCAGAAGCGGGGCTGCCGCGAGCTCATGAAGGAGTACGCGACGGCCCACGGCTTCGACTGCCGCTGGGCCGTGATCCCGGGCGTGCTCCACGAGGACGCGACCTGGGGCGGCGGCACGACGGAGTACGCGCTCGACGCGATCCGGTGCGCCGCGGAGGGCGCGCCCTTCGCGTGCCCCGTGCCCGTGGACGCGCGCCTGCCCATGATCCACGCCGACGACCTCGTCGCGGGGCTCCTGGCGCTCATGGACGCGCCGCGGGAGCGCCTGACGAACCCGGAGGCGGGCTACGCGCTCGCGGGCTTCTCCTTCGCGGCGTCCGAGCTCTTCGCGCATCTGGCGACGCTCGCGCCGGGCTTCTCGCACACCGTCGCCCTCGACCCGGCCGCGGCGGCCTTCGCGGCGCTCTGGCCCGACCGCCTCGGCCAGGCCGAGGCCATCGCGGACCTGGGCTTCGTCGCCGACATCGCCTTCGAGGAGACGGTCGACCGCATCTTCCAGGCGCACCGGGCGCGGAAGGCGGCGGCGGAGGCTCCTTCGGAGCCCGCGGCGGAGGCTCCTTCGGAGCCCGCGGCGGAGCCCCCTTCGGATCCCGCGCCGGAGGCATGAGGGATAATTGAAGGCGTCGCTTGGAAGCCGCTCTAGGCGTCGCTGGGAAAGCTCATTTCAAGTTGAGCTCAACGTCTTGTTCAGCACGCGAATCCATCGGCGCGATGGCGGTCCAATTGCTCACCTTCGGACGCGGCATAGAGCGCGTCGCCGAGTTCCTGGCCGCGGCAGACATCTCGGCGCTGCGTCTGCTCAGCAGCAATGCAGCGGCGTCGCCGCTCTACTCTCTCGGCAAGCGCGCACTTCTCAGCCGGGTCGCGGCGAAGAAGCCGCAGAAACGCCTCGTGGCGCTGCGCTCGTGCATTCAAGTCATCGGACGCGAGGCGCAGGACGCGCTCCTGGCCGCGTTTGAGAACGACCGGACGCAGCTCGTCCGGGCGGGAGCCGCGCGCCTGCTCGCGCGACTCGCGAAGGCCCTCCCCGTCGACGACCGCGCGACGCTCTTCCGACGTGTCGACGCTCGCTACGGGAAAGAGCTGCGCATGTTCACTTGCCGCACGGCGATCGAGGAGAGCTTCGTCGACGTCCTCCCTGAGGCCGTGCTGGCGCGCGACTTCCCTGGTTTGCTCCTGTCCGACTTCGCGCTCGAGTCGCTACTGAAGAAGCGGGAGATTGAGGAGCGGAAGCGCGAAGCGAAGGAGCGCGATGCGATGGACAGGGAGGAGCTGATTAGCCATGGCTACATGCGATGGTTTGATAGGCACGCGCGAGAAATGATGAGCTGTGATCTGTGCCCAGCTTCACACCAGGTCTTCGGTGTCGGTCGATGCACCAAAAGGCCTTTTTACCCTGAATTTTTACTTCGGGTAATGTTTCCTGAATGCGACTCTGCTGGACGCACGGATCCCGGGTATTGTTTGTTTCCACGATATTGTCGCCACGTCGCAGAAAGCGGCGGGCTCCTTTGGCAAGGTATACCTAGCGACGGGCCAGCGGAGCCGCATCGCGCGCTCTATCATTGGATGTGCCGCCAGCCAAATCTCTCCCAGAGAATGCCGGTGACGATGACCTGCGATACATACCTAGACTCTGACACTGGCACTGACTCCGAGTCCGAGTCGAGCCGAGTCGCACGCTGCAAGTGCTGCGGCAACCCCGCGCCCAAAGGAGCGCGATGCAAAAAGGAGTTCCGCGTAGAAGAACCATAAAAATCACGCATTTCTCTGAATGCCCCCTAAGACACGGCGCATCGCGCGCGCCGCGGCGCGAGGCTCGCCTCGACGGGCGCGCGGCCGCCCGGCCGCAGCTCGTCCACCGGGCAGCACGAGATCGCGAGGACGCGCGCGTGCCCCGGGAGCGCGTTCGCGCCGCCGCGGTGGAGCAGCAGGGGAGAGGCGAGCGCGACGTCGCCGGCCGCGCCGACGAGCGAGCGCGTCTCCGCGCGGCGCAGGAGCGCGGGCACGAGCTCGCGCTCGTCGCCGACGGCGTCAAAGCCGTGGAGCGCGCGCGCCGGCAGGTCGCCCTGCTCCAGCAGGCGCGCGACGGCCCGGTGCGACCCGAGGGCGAACTCCGTGCCGCCGGCGCCGGGCGGCGCGTCCGTCAGCAGCCAGAAGACGACGAGGCCGACGGCGCCGGACCGCCGCGAGTGCGGCTCGTGCCAGCCGTCGACGTGCCAATCGCGGTGGTCCTCCTCCTTGGTCTCCTCGCCGCCCGCCGTGCGCGCCACGCAGGCGCGGAAGCCGCGGAGCGGCGCCGCGAGGCGCGCGTCGCCGCCGACGAGTTGGGCGACGGCCGCGTGGACGCGCGGGCACTCCCGCTTCACGTCGAAGCGCGCGCTGCCGGCGCGGATGAGATGGTAGCGCCGCTTCCCCGGCTCCTGCTCCATGTTCCAATTCAGTTCGTCGACCGCGGCGCCGGCGTACGGCGCCGGGTCGAAGGCGCGGCGCAGGACCACGACGCCGTCGCGCTGAAAGGCCTCGACGTCGGCCATGGACAGAGGACCGCGCATCGCGGCTGCGACCGTCGATGCGCGGCAGTCCATCGTCGAAAGCGCGCTGCTACCTAGCTAAAACGAGATGCTAAAACGCGCGCAGCCCCATAGCTGCCCGATTGAACGTCAACAAAACGGCTTTGAAGGGGGCAGCATGGGCCGATGAAATGCCGCGCGTCGCGGCTGCGGCGCTCGTTGGTCGTCGCTGCGCTCGCCTGCGCGCTCCTGGCGGCGCGGCAGAGCGGCGGCGGCGAGACGGTGGCAGCGCCGCAGCTGCAGCCGAGCGGCGGCGAGACGGCGGCGGTACCGAACCCACAAACGCGGTTCCCGCCCCTCACCACCGCGCTGCGCAAGTCCTTCGCGCACCACCTGCTCGTGAACGAGCGCTTCCGGCTCGTGCTCTGCGCCATCCCCAAGGTCGCGAGCACGGAGCTCATCAAGCTCGTGCACCGCCTCGGCGACGACGCGCGGTGGCGCCGCGACCCGCACTTCCGCCGCGACGCGCCGCTCTTCAGCCGCCTCAAGGCGCGCGACGCGCGGCGCTGCCTCGACGACGGCAACTGGACCTGGGCCGTCTTCTTCCGGGACCCCGCCGCGCGGCTCCTCTCCGCGTACCGCGACAAGTTCCGCGCGGGCGTCGTCGCGAACAAGCGGTACGCGCTGCGCGAGTTCGGCCGCGAGTCCATGACCTTCGCGGACTTCGTCGACGCCGTCGCCGACGGCTCGAACGCGACGCGCGGGTCGCCGACGGGCCTCCATCCCTGGACGAACCCGCACTGGCGGCCGCAGCGGTTCTTGTGTCCGCGACCGGCGTCGCGAGCGTCGCGCGATTTCGAACGAGAACTTCGTAGGCAACAACGACCTGCTGCTCCATCGCTACGACTTCATCGGGTCCTTCGAGCGCCTCGCGGCCGACGCCGAGGCGCTCCTCCGGCGCCTCGGCGCCTGGGACGCGTACGGCCGCAAGGGCTGGGGCGAGCATCGAAGTCAGACGCCCATCTTCGCGGACGCCGCGGCGCACGCGGCGAAGGCGAAGGACGCGTTCACCGAGGCCTACGCCGACGGCGCGCTGCTCGCGCGCGTGCGCGGCGCCTACGCCGCGGACTACGCCATGCTCGACGCCGTCGGCTTCTTCGACGCGACCGGCCCGACGCGCGGCGCGGCGCTCGACCCGCGCCTCTGCGACCTCGACCCGCGCCGCTGCGCGGGCGACTAATGGTGCACTCCCGCTGCGTCGGGTAGCATGCTACTCCCGCTGCGTCTAGGTAGCATGCGAGTTCCGCTGCGACGTCGACCCGCCCTGCTGCGTCTAGGTAGCATGCGAGTTACGTCGAATTGCACCGGTGGGCGGCGCGCGCTCGATACCCCGGGGTGGGTTGGGTAGCGCGGCTCCCGTCGTCGGGGGCGTGTGTGTTTGGTTTTCTCGGAATTCGATGGTTCGGAATTCTTCTAATTGGGGGCGGCTCAGCTCATCATGCTCCGGCGGATCTCGCGGGCGCCGAGCTTCATCTGCTGCTTCGCGGACGCGATGAAGCGGACCTTCATCTTGTCGAACTTGCCGCCGCCGGCCTTGGCGGCGGCCGCGGCCTCGCCGTCGCGGTCCTCGAGGCGGTCGAGGTGCTCGTAGACGTCGAGCGCGCGCGAGTGGAGGTCGCCGCGGGACGCGTAGGAGCGGAGCGTCTCCTGGACCTCGACCGCGACGGCCTCGACGGCCTCGGCCGACGCGCGGCGGAGCCGGACGCGCGCGGGCGCGCCGAGGGACCGCGACGCCGGCAGGGGCGACGCGACGGGCGCGACGCGCGCGACCTTCATGGACATGGTGCGGATGAGCCGCGCGGCCCTGGCCCGGAAGACGGAGGGCGGCGGCCGCGACGGGTCCGCGGCGCGCGCCGTCGCGCGTCGGAGAAGACGCGCTTGGTGAAGGACTGGGAGCCGTCGTTCTCGTACCAGGCGCCCGTGTCGCACTCCTTGCACGCGGCAAGGACGTCGACGTCGCCGTCGCCGTCGACGTCGGACGCGTAAGCCGCGTAGACTCCGGCGGAGTCGACGACGCGCTCCGCGAAGGACTGGGACCCGTCGTTTTCCCACCACGAGACGTCGCCGTCGGAGTAGGCCCCCGAGACGACGTCGACGTCGCCGTCGCCGTCGACGTCGACGGCGAAGACGGACTGGGCGGCGTCCGCGAGCGTCGTCAGCACGCGCTCGGAGAAGGTCGCGCTCGCGCAGAGGACCGTGGGCCGGGGCGTCGGCGCGGGCACCGTCGGCCGGGGCGTCGGGCTGGGCGTCTGATTCTCGTACCACGCGACCGTGTCGTCGTCGGTCGACGCCGACAGAACGTCGACGTCGCCGTCGCCGTCGACGTCCGTCGCGAAGACGGCGTTGGCGCCGTCCGCCGTCGCCGTGACGACGTCCGCCGTGAAGGACTGGGACCCGTCGTTCTCGTACCACGCGACCGTGTCGTCGACGGACGCCGCCGACAGGACGTCCGCGTCGCCGTCGCCGTCGACGTCGATCGCGAAGACGGATACGGCGTAGTCCGCCGTCGTCGTGAGGACGCGCTCGGTGAAGGACTCTGACCCGTCGTTCTCGTACCACGCGACCGTGTCGTCGCGCTCGGACGCCGACAGCGCGTCGACGTCGCCGTCGCCGTCGACGTCGATCGCGAAGACCGTTCTGATGCCGTCCGCCAGCGTCGTGATGACGCGCCCCGTGGGGGACTGGGAGCCGTCGTTCTCGTACCAGGCGACCGTGTCCTCCGAGTAGTCCCCGGAGAACAAGTCGACGTCGGCGTCGCCGTCGACGTCGACGGGGAAGACGGACCGGGCGCCGTTCGCGGTGTCCGAGACGACGCGCTGCGCGAACGATTCCGAGCCGTCGTTCTCGTACCAGGCGACCACGTTGGCGCCGCGGTACGCCGCCAGCGGGTCCACGTCGCCGTCGCCGTCGACGTCGATCGCGTAGACGGACCAGGGTTGGTTCACCGCCGTCGTGATGATGCGTTCGGTGAACGACTCGGAGCCGTCGTTCTCGTACCACGCGACCGTGTCGTCGAGGTAGGACCCCGACAAAACATCCACGTCGCCGTCGCCGTCGACGTCGACGGCGAAGACCGAGGCGGCGTTCTCCGCCATCGTCGTGACGACGCGCTCCGCGAAGGACTCCGAGCCGTCGTTCTCGTACCACGCGACCGTGTCGTCGGCGTAGCCCGCCGCGACGACGTCGACGTCGCCGTCGCCGTCGACGTCGACGGCGAAGACGGCGTAGGCCTCGTCCGCGAGCGTCGAGACGACGCGCTCGGCGAAGCTCGCGCCCGTCGCCGCCGTCGGCCGGGGCGTCGGCGACGGGTTCGCGACGCAGCCGTTCTCGTACCAGGCGACGGTGTCGTCGGTGATCGCCGTCGAGAGGAGGTCGACGTCGCCGTCGCTGTCCAGGTCCGCCGCGTTGACCCAGGCGGCGCCCGCGGCGGTCGTCGTGAGCACGCGCTCCGTGAACGACTGCGAGCCGTCGTTCTCGTACCAGGCGACGGTGTCGTCGTTCTCGACGGCGACGGCGACGTCGACGTCGCCGTCGCCGTCGATGTCGTAGGGGAGCACGGACCGCAGGCAGTCCTGCGACGTCGCGAAGACGCGCGTCGCGAAGGACTGCGACCCGTCGTTCTCGTGCCAGACGCCCTCGTCGCCGGCGCAGAGCGCGGTGACGAAGTCGACGTCGCCGTCGCCGTCGACGTCCATCGCCGCGGAATTGTAGGGGCCGTTGGCGCTGGCGTCGACGACGCGCTCCGTGAAGGACTGGGACCCGTCGTTCTCGTACCAGGCCACGACGTCGATCGCGGACGCGGTGCCGAGCACCTGGGCAGGCCAAGAGAGATTCAACGTCGCTTCAACGTGAGTGTTCCGCGCGCGCGCGTCCCGAAAAAAGCATCTACGCTTCGAGACCGTTCCGAGAGATGATCGCTCGTCCAAAAATCAGCCAAAACGAGTGGAAAACGGCCGAGATATGAGGCTTTGAAGTTTGGAATTTCGCTCTCTTGTCCTGCCCTGCCGAGCGCGTCGACGTCGCCGTCGCCGTCGACGTCGGCCGCGAAGACCGAGCGGGCGTTCGTCGCCGTCGAGGTGATGACGCGCCGCGTCAGGGACGCGGAGCCGTCGTTCTCGTACCACGCGATCGTGTTCTCGGTCTCCGAGGCCGAGAGGAGGTCCACGTCGCCGTCGCCGTCGACGTCGTCGGCGACGACCATCCACGCCGCGTCCGCGAGCGCCGTGACGATTTTCTCCGTGAACGACTGGGACCCGTCGTTCTCGTACCACGCGACCGTGTCGTCCTTGACGGACGTCGACGCGAGGTCCACGTCGCCGTCGCCGTCGACGTCCGCGGCCACCGCGGACGACGCGCCGGACGCGGTCGCGACGATGCGCTCCGCAAACGACTGAGACCCGTCGTTCTCGTACCAGGCGACCATGTTGTCCCGGAACGACGCCACGATGGGATCCAGGTCGCCGTCGCCGTCGACGTCCGCCGTGTCCACGGACCGCGCGGCGTTCGCCGTCGTCGTGATGACGAACGTCGTGAACGAGACGGTGCCGCTCTGGCAGCTCACGGTCGGCCGCGGCGTCGGCGCGGCGACGCAGCAGACGCAGAGGCGGCGCTTGTTGCCGACGCCGTCCTGGGTGCAGTCGAAGTTGCCCGAGGGGTCCTTGTACGCGCAGTCGCCGTTCGTCTTGGCGTACGGCGGCGCGATGTTCGTCGCCTCGACGTTGGACGCGCAGGTCTCGCCGTAGATGGACGCCACGAGGGCCTCGACCTCGGCGGCGCTGTCGACCTCGTCGTTCCGCGCCACGAGCTCGGACGTCGAGCACGTGAGCCCGACGTTGCCGCAGACCGTCGTGCAGTCCTCGCCCGCGGAGCCGCCGTACCAGTCCGACGAGCCGTAGAGGCAGCCCGCCGTCGGCGCCGGCGTCGGGCTGTGCGCCTCCAGCCCGACGACGACCAGCAGCGCACCGAGGCGCCGCGGGGGGCGCCACATCACGCCGGCGCTCTCGAGGAGAGCTCCATCGGGACAATGCGGCGCCGGCCAATCTTCAGCGTCGGCCTGATTGATGATGCCGCCTGGACGCTGCCCCGCTTGTTGGCGAGGCGCTCCTCGCTTTTCATTTCGGCACTCGACGTCTACCATGGGCAAGCTGGGTCTCGGAGTCGTTCCCCCGCGCGTCCAGGAGATCATGGACCGCCACGAGCGCACGGGCAAGATCACCACGAAGCAGCGCCAGAAGCTCGACCACCACTTCCTCCTCCAGCGCGCGCGTTTCCCCGCGTCCTCCCGTTTGCCGCATCGCCGCTGCGCAGCCACGCCGCTCCGCGCCCCGCGCGACGGCGACGGCGACACGAACCCGCGCGTCCCCTTTTAGGAGTTCAAGGAGGGCCTGCTCGCCGACAAGCGCCAGGCGAAGCGCGGCGACGACGACGAGGACGCCTAAGCGCGGCCGCGCGCGGCGGCGGCGGGCGCCGCCGTCGAAGCGCGCGGCGCCGCGCTTCCGCGCGACGCCCGCTCCTAAGTTCCACTCGCATCGCTCGCCGCTGCTTACGTGTCATGGCGCGACGACGCGCCACGCGACCGCCGCGGCCGCGAGCAGCGCGGCCGCGGGCGGTCGCGGCCCGGCCCTCGCGCCGGACTTGGCGGGCGTGTTGTAGCGGTAGACGCTGCAGGCGAAGCCCGTGCCGACGTCGTAGCGGCCCGGCGTGCAGAACTCGTCCGTCGGCGGGCAGGCGATCTTCTTGCAGAGGTCCGCGTACTCGAGGTTGTTGGCGCACTGGATGGAGACCTGGGTGCAGTAGGACCGGCAGGGGGGCACGAGCACGGCGCCCTTCTCCTTGCAGTTGTTCTCGTAGGCCGACGACTCCGTGGACCACCAGAGGCAGACGTACTCGCGGACGATCTCGCGGCAGTCCTCGTTGTCCCGGAAGGTCTTCGACGGCCCGAAGACGTCGAGGAGGCCCGCGCGCTTGTCGATGTCGTCGCAGGAGCCCGTCACCGACGCGACGGACGGGTAGTACGTGTCCTCGACGAGGTAGCCCGCGAGCTTGCTGCAGTAGACGAGGTCGTTCTTGCAGAGGCTGCAGCAGACGCCGTCCGGGTCCTGGCACTTGTTCTCCTCGAGGCGCCGCCGCCGCTCCGTCAGGTTCAGGTGGGGGAAGCGCCGCGGGTCGTGGTCCGGCGGCCAGAAGAAGCCGTCGTCGGACCAGCCGGGCTCCGTGAAGTGCTTGAAGTCGAGGTCCGGATGGTGGAGCTCGATCCGCAGCGGCCCCCGCTGCGCCGCCTCGCCCCGGAGCAGCGGCTCGTCCCCGCCCCGCGCCGACGCCGCGAGCCACGCGGCCAGCGCCCACGCGACGGCGCCCATGCTCGGCTGCCCCCGCACTGGACAAATCACAACGTTGTACGTCAAGTATCCTAGACCTTGAACCTTGCCAACGATGCGGCGCATATAAACCCAGCCCCAACGACATGGCGTCCAGGCCCCCGAAGCACCCCGGCCCGCTCCTGCCGCGGCTCGAGAGCGGCCGCCAGCTCGTCGCGCCCGAGGCGGAGCCGTCGCCGTCGAAGCTGCAGCTGCCGGCGCTGGCCCTGCCCGCCGACGAGCCGGACCGGCGCGACGAGGCCTTCTCCCTCTTCGTCGAGCGGACGAGCGCGCGCGAGTCCGGGCGCAAGGGCAAGCGGAAGAGCAGGTCCGCGGGCGGCAAGGACAGCGGCCGGGGCCCGAGGCCGCCGCGCGCGGACGACTACTCGGCGTACTTCCACCACCACCCGTGGCGCGGCTCCGCGCTGGACCTCGCGCCGCGGCTCCTGCGGCGCCTCGGGAGCGGCGGGGCGAGCGGCGGCCACCGTGGCCGGGACGACGACGACGACGACGACGACGACGGCGTCGAGGACGCCGCGGAGCTCAGGGCAGCAAAAGGGTGCGAAATTCCCAACTTCAAAGGCTCATATCTCGGCCATTTTCCACTCGTTTCGGCTGATTTTTGGACGAGCGATCATCTCTCGGAACGGTCTCGAAGCGTGGATGTTTCTTTTGTAACGCGCGCGCGCGGAACACTCACGTTGAAGCGACGTTGAATCACCCTTGTCCTGCCCAGGCGGAGCTCGAGGTCGCGGCGCACGGGTCCGAGTGGTTCGCGGCGGTGTTGGGCGAGCCCTGCTGCGTGTTGCGGCTGGACGCGAAGAAGGCCGTGAGCGACGCGCTGCGGTCGGGCTGCGGCGAGGCCTGCGCCGTCGTCGCGGAGATCCGGCGCGCCGCGGACGCGGGCGACGCGGAGGCGCCGCTCTTCGCGCACTGGGAGGCGGACGCGTGCCGGGCCGTCTTCCGCACCGTCGGCGGCGCCCTGGAGCTCGCGGCGCGCGTCACGGGGGCGCGGCCCACGCGCGCCGCGCTCCACTGGACCGGGGAGGCCGTCGCGGTCGAGGCGGGCGCCGAGGGCCGGCCGCACTCGGCCGCCCTCGCGGTCGTCGCGGACGAGCTCGAGCTCCTCGGCGACGCGGGCATCGCCGTCTCCGCCGCGGCGAAGCAGCGCCTGGACGGCGAGGCCGTGGCGCCGCCGTTGGGCCTCTTCGCGCAGTCGGGGTTCGCGTGGACGTTCCTGCCGGAGACGCGGTGGGCCGAGGGGTCGAGGCCCGCGCCCCTCCGGGGCGACCGGAAGACCGTGGTCATGGCCACGTTGGCGTTTGACGCGAAGCTCGCCCGGGAGGCGGGCTCCGCGCGGCTCTTCGTCCAGCGGCGCCGCGCCGTCGCCGTGCTCCAGACCGCGCTCGGCTGCGGCGGCGGCGAACGCGCGCCGGGCTCGGACGCGCTCTACGTCTTCGACAGCGTCGCGGCGGGGCTGTTGGCGGCCCTCGACGCCAAGGCCGCCCTCGACAAGTTCGTCGCCCAGGCGCTCGTGGACGTCGCGGCGACGGGCTTCGGCATCGCCGCGGGCGAGCTCGTCGCGGCGCCCGGCGCGACGACGGGCGCCTGCGTCGCCGTCGCCGCGCGGCTCTGCCACGAGCTCGCGGGCCGCGCGACGCCCGGCGGCGTCTTGGTCGACGGGCCCGCGCGCGCGGAGCTCGGCGACCTCGCCGCGGTCCGCGGCCGGCACAAGCCAGGGCAGGAAAAGAGTGCGACATTCCCAACTTCAAAGGCTCCTATCTCGGCCGACGTCCACTCGTTTCGGCTGATTCTTGGACGAGCGATCATCCCTCGGAGCGCTCTCGAAGCGCGAACACTTTTCTTGGAACGTTCGCACGCAAAACACTTACGTTGAAGCGACGTTGAATCACTCTTTGCCTGCCCAGGCACAAGCACGTGAAAGTCGTCGCGACGTGGCTCAAGGGGCCGGGCGGCCAGCTCGACGAGTTCCACCAGGTCTACGGGTCCAGCGGCGCGCTCTATCGGGAGACGGAGGCGTCCCTCAAGCGCGCGCGCGAGGACGCGCTCCGCGCGCGGCGGAGGCGCGACGCGGCCAAGGCGACGCGCCGCGCGGACTACGGCCGCGGCGCCGCGACGGGCGGCCGGAAGCGGCAGAAGGGGCCCCAGCTCGACGCGACCTGCGCGTCGGCCCTCGAGGAGCTCCGGGCCGTCACGGAGCCCGGCGACGTCGAGGTCGAACGCGTGCTGCGGAATTTGCTGGACGCGCTGCGCGCGGGGAAGAACGACGCCGTCGTCAAGAGCCGGCGCCGCGAGCTGCTCCAGCTCCACGCGCGCTGGTGCCCGCGGTCCGCGCTGCGCACGGACCACACGCCCGCCGAGCGCGAGTCGCAGGCCGCGCTGGCGGACTGGTACCGCGGCGCGGGCAAGTCCGCGCGGTCCGGGAGTAAGGCGTTCGCGCCCGCGCGGCGCCGCGCGCGGAAGCTGCGCCGGAAGCGCGAGACGGCGTCGGACCGCATCCAGACGGCCTTCCGCGTGGCGCCGACCATGGTCAAGGCGCGCGCGCGCGCGAAGCGGGCGCAGAAGCGGACCAAGGCCGCGTTCGACGCGGCGAAGATCGGCAAGTTCGGCCGGGGCTGGGCGAAGACGGCGAGCCGCGCGCTCTGGCCCGGCGCGCGCGACGTCCGCGCCGCGAAGACGCCCGCGTCGGCCCTCGCCGTGCTCGTCGACGCCGCGGGCGGCCGCGCGTCGCGCGCGCGGGAGAGTCTGGTCGGCGCCGTCGGCCGCGGCGGCGACGACGCCAAGACCGCGGCGCACCATTTGGACGCCATCGTCGACGACCTGCGCCACGACGGCGCCCAGCGCGAGCGCACGGACGAGGAGAAGGCCGCCGGGGCCGCGGGCATCCGCGCGCGCATCCAGTACCTGCGGTCGCGGTGCTCGGACCCGGCGGCGATTGACGCCGAGCTCGCGGCGGATCCGCGGTTGCTCATGGGCGGGCCCGCGGGGCTGAGCCGCGTCGAGGCCCTGTTCGCCAACGCGCAGCTCGAGGCCGCGGAGGACGCGGAGGCGACGGCCGAGGCCGCGGGGGCGACGGCCGAGGCGCCGGCCGCCGCGGACGCCGCCGCGGACGAGGAGGAGGACGACGACGACGCGGAGGACGACGACGACGCGTCGAGCGACGGCGACGCGTCGGGCGACGCCGTCGTCGACGAGGCGAAGGAGCGGCGCCGCGCGGAGCGCCGGGCCGCGCGCAAGGCGGAGAAGAAGCGCCTCCGGGACGAGGCGAAGCGCGCGCGCGCGGAGGAGAGCCTCCCGGGCCGCGCGCGGCCGCCGCCGCTCGCGGCGGGCCCGTCGCTGACGAACGCGCTCTACCTCGGCGTGCCGACGAAGAATTCCCAGCCGAGCTCGCCCTTCTCGAAGCGGCGGCCGAGCAAGGGCCAGCGCGACGCGCCGAGCCCCCTGGCCAAGGCGCAGATGCGGTCCGCGGCGCGCGCGGCCTTCTTCGAGAACGCGGCCGCGGCGCCCGCCGCCGCCGCGGCGGCGCCCGAGGCCGCGGCGCCGCCGAAGCACAAAAAAGCCGCGCCGCCGCCGCCCGTGACGGCCGCCTTGGAGGCCCTCGAGCGGTCCGCGGCGCTCGGCGTCGGGTCGTCGCGCGAGTCGCGGCAGGCGGCCATGGCCGAGGCCGTCGAGCTCGAGCGCGACGCGTCCGAGGCCGTGCTCTACGGCGGCGGGCCCGAGCTGTCGCGGCGGCTCCAGGTCGCCGTCATCAAGGAGGTGCTCCTCGCGCCCATCGCGTCCGACGGCGACGGCGACCCGGAGTCGCTCGAGGAGCTCGACGGCTGGTACCGGCCCTTCCTCGTCGAGTCCATCATGAAGAGCCGGCCCGACCTCCTCGCGGCGCACCTCATCTGCCTCCCCATCGACGAGCTCGAGCTGCTGTTCGGGGGGCTCATCATGGTCGCGAACGGGTTTCCGACGAAGTACGTGGAGCAGATCGAGTACCGCATCGAGCACCCCCAGGTCTACGCCTTCGAGCCGCTGGCCGACGTCGCCGAGGCCGACGCGCCCGAGGACGACAGCCCGCGGCCGCCGCCCGCGGCCGCGGCCGCGGCGGCGGTCGTCGTCGAGGCCGCGCCGCCGCCGCCCGCGGCGGACGACGACGACGACGACGACGACCAGGTCGACCACCTGAAGAAGCGCCTGCTCCGCGACGGCCAGAGCACCTACGTCGACACGCTCTCGGGCTTCTCCTTCGACGTGGCGTCCTACGCCGTCGGGCCCGACGACGACGGCGCGGAGCCCCTCGAGTCGAAGCTGAAGCGCGACATCATCCTCGCGCTCCGCGCGATGGACTGGCTCCCCGCGGGCTTCAAGAAGGTCATCAAGTACCTCCGCGAGCACGGCTGGACCAAGGACGAGGCGCCCGACGCCGTCTTCAACGCCGCGGCCACCCAGCTCTTCGAGGCGGGCAAGGTCCAGCTCTCCTTCCGGCGCGACGGCTCCCCGTTCGAGGTGTGGTGAGATTCGGAACCTAAGATTCCTTAGGTGCCTGGAAGCTAGCTAGCCGGGCGCGCCGGGCGCTTGTAGACAATGTGGTCCGCTTTCTTGCGCGTGAAATCGAAGAGGTTCGGGTTTTGAGTGTCGCGCTCGTAGTCGCACGCGAAGGAATATCTATAGGGTCCATTGATATCATCTATTTTTGAGATGAGTCGTGTCGCATTGGCTTTGTGGAAGTCACGCATCACCTGCTCGCCCTTTCCCATTCCGATAGCATTTGGGATATCATCACCTGTCTCAGGATCGTAGACCATCCATTTTATGTCCAGAAAATTGAAACGACAAACAGCGTCGGTATCAGGGTAGCTGATGTCCATCACTAAATTGATTTCTAGAGGGTGACCTTCAAATCCGCACTGTGACGAAATGTGGTGACGCTCATCATCCCCATCTCCTTCCATACAGCAAGATTCTAAGAGAGGCACCATGATCCCGTCGAGCTGCATCAATACACGGACCTCGAATATCAATGAAGAGTCCTGCTGCTGATAATCACTATAATCCACGCCAGGGTCGACATCCAGCGGCACTCGAATTATCTCCGGGAAATTGTCCACGCCACAGTCCTTCACACTGATGAATTTTTGCGCCACCATACGCTTGATGCAAGATTCCATGGGATACATGCCAGGTTGACACACATGCTCAGGTTGTCGATCTTCTCCCGGTACAAGATGAGCTTCGTAGACCTCGACGAAGATCCAGTCTCCCGACGACGTTGGCTGGTGGAGCCATTCAGGCATGACTGACAGCGGTCGCCAGCTCCAAGAGCTTTGCCATATCGACACGGCGTCCGGGCCCGTGCCGCGCCGCGGGCGCCACGGGAGGCACTGCAGGCAGAGGCGCCGAGCGTCTACCTTGATCGTCGAGAGTTCCGCGAGCGCGCCCGCATCGACAGCGAAGCGGCCGAGGCCGCACGTGGCGAGGCGCGGCGCCCAGATGCGGTCCAGCAGCGTCGCCGTCCGGAGCGATGTAGATGCAGCGCCGACTTGTAGCACGGATTCGACGTCGAGAAAAGCGAGGATCTCGACGACCACATCGTTGCTCACGCGCGCGAGGGCGGCCATCGCTCAGATGGCGCGCGCCGAGACTTGCGCACGCACCCGCGACGCACGGTAATCGCTGTGGCTGACGAAGACGCCCGGGCTGCAGGCGACGACCAAGACGCGCGCGCGCGCCGAGCCTGCTCGAGCAGGTCGGTCGGATCGAAGTGGATGCTTCCGGCACCGTGCACCGGTAACTCTCAAATTCGACGACGCGAGGTCGGGCTGCCCGCGTCTGGGCGTCGGACGTCGGCCCGGACACATGGCGTACCAGGCCGAGATGGGCTACCAGTACGACGACCGGGCCTTCGGGTCCGAGGCGCGCCCCGCGGAGAAGAAGTCGCCCTGGGCGTCGCGCGCCGCGACGGTCGTCGGCGGCGTCGCGTGCTTCGCTTTGGGCATGAGCGCGACGCAGCTCACGTCCATGGCGTCGTCCATGGAGGCGGACAAGCAGGCCGTCTACTCCGCCGAGAGCGGCGACGGCCCGACGGACCCCCACGCCGCGGCCTGGCTCGCCGTGGACGAGGCCGTGCAGCCGTGGATCGCCAAGGAGACGAGCAAGGCCGACGCGTCCGAGTACCCGCACATCTTCCTGAGCCTCATCGACGACCAGGGCAAGGCGGACATGGGCTACGGCAACGACGGCCTCGACCAGCTCGCCGAGGCGACGCCCTTCATGGACCTCCTCGCGGACGACGGCATCAAGCTCGACAAGTACTACAGCCAGCAGCTCTGCACGCCGTCGCGGTCCGCGCTGCTCAGCGGCTACTACCCGATCCACACGGGCATGCAGCACGACGTCATCCAGCCCGAGTCCATGTTCGGCATGCCCGCGGGCCACAAGCTCATGCCCTCGTTCCTCAAGGAGTTCGCCGGGCTACCGGACGCACATGATCGGCAAGTGGCACCTGGGCCACTACCAGTCCAAGTACCTGCCCCACAAGCGCGGCTTCGACGAGTTCTATGGCTACCTCAGCGACCAGCTCTGGTACTACAACCACAAGTCGCCCCACGCGTGCGACGGCTCGAACTGCTACTACGACATGCAGCGGAACGGCGCGATCGCGGAGGACTCCATCGGCGTCTACTCGACGTTCCTCTTCGTCGACGCCTTCACGGACGTGCTGGAGAACGAGGATGCCTCGACTCCGCTCTTCATGTACCTGAGCTGGCAGAACGTGCACGCGCCGCTCGACCCGCCGCCGGCGTCGTTCTACACGAAGACGGAGCTGTCGCTCGTCAACTCCATCGAGGACCCGCACCGGCGGACCTTCGCGTCGATCACCATCGTGCTCGACAACGCGATGAAGAAGGTCGTCGGGGCCATGAAGAAGTCGGGCTTCTACGACAACTCGATTCTAGTCGTGGCGTCCGACAACGGCGGCTGCTCGGGCTCGGGCGGCTACAACTACCCCTACCGCGGCGGCAAGCAGTACCTCTACGAGGGCGGCATCCACGTCAACGCGTTCATCCACAGCCCGCTGATCCCGAAGAGCGCGCGCGGCACGAGCTACCAGGGCCTCTTCCACGTCTCCGACTGGCTGCCGACGCTCGTGACGGGCGCCATGAAGACGGAGCCGACGATGCTCCCGGCGGACCTCGACGGCGTGGACCAGTGGCACGCGATTCTGGGCAGCGGCCGCGGCGCGCCGGCGGCGTACCCGCGGACGGAGATCCTCCACAACATCGACCTCTGGTCGCTGGAGATCTACGGCAACGTCACGAAGCTGAGGACGCCCATCCAGGCCATCCGCGTCGGCGACATGAAGCTGGTCATGGGCCAGGACGCGTCGACGCACTACTCGCCGACGGAGACGACGTGCCCCGAGGGCATCGGCTACTGCATGCCCTCCTACGAGTCGACGGAGGACTGCTCCTACGAGTACGGCGACCAGAAGTACCTGTACAACATCACCGCGGACCCGAGCGAGCTCGTGGACCTGTCGACGGTGCACCCGCAGCTCGTCTCGACCCTCGAGGCGAAGCTCGCGGGCTACGAGGCGACGATGGTGAGCCCGGCCTACCGCAACTCGAACTACGACCTCGCCTACAGCGCCTGGGCGGGCCTCAACTCCAACTTCATCGGCCCCTTCGACGACCCCGTCGAGGTCGCGCTCACGGGCTTGGTGGGCAACACCGCGGGCGACATGAACGACGACAAGGCCATCAACTAGGGCGGCGCATGTGTGTGTGGCCGTAAGGAGACTTTTTATCATTAGCGGCGGCGGTGTCGGCGCTGCGGCCTGCGCTTGATTTGGTCAGTGCAGCCATGCGGCATGTTTCCGTCAATCGATCGGCCGAGCCTCGGAAGAATTTTTTCATTGGCTGCCCGATGGAGACGAACCGGGAAGGCTGAAGGCTGCCCGATGCCCGCGCCGATGGAGATGATGGAGCGAGAAACGTCCATCGTCGACGACTTCTTCCAGGACCGGCAGTCGGATCGAGAAGCGTCGACGCTGCGCGACGCGCTCCGCATCACTTCGGGCCCGACGCGCATCACCCGGCGCGCGCGGCAACTGCTCGCGCGGCAGATCCTCGCGTCGGCGCAGCGCTACGAGACGGCGACGCCCTTCTTCGTGATCTGGCGCCGCTTCGCGCTCACCTTGATCTTCTGGGCGACGCTCTTGGACGTGGGGAACCTGGGCATCCTCTACGTGGCCATCTACTGGAAGATCTTCGACGCGCTCGACATGCGTAGCGCGGCGTCTTCTCTTTCTGGTTTTCTGTGTGTGTGATCCTTCGTCTCCAGGTGCCTCTGCAGCTACGATTGCGGCGGCGACGACTGGCACGACGTCTACAACCGGGGCGAGTGGAACTTGATCGTGCTCAACGCCTGCGGCGACCGGACGGTTTCCTGCGACGTCCAGGGGGGGCTGAACACGTGCATCTGCGAGACCGGCGCCGGCGGAGAGGGGACGAACGTCACGGAATGCCGCTACCACACCCTCGTGTCGCCGTTTTTGTGGTACGCGGCCTGCATCGGCGCCGTCGGCGCCGTCACGGTCTGGCTCATGTTCAAGCTCGGCCAGTTCAGCCCGAAGAGCGACCGCGTGAACATCGGCCAGCGCCTCATCTGCTGCCTGCCCCGGCGCTGGCGCGCGCTCATCCACGCGACGCCCGCGGAGTCGAAGAGCAAGTTCGTGACCTTCTACCGCGCCTACACGCTGCTCTGGGTGTTGCAGATCGTCGTCTTCGGCTTCGTCGTCTTCTTGACGGGCAAGGCCCTCGTCGGCGAGGCCGAGGGCTACGAGATGCCGGCGGCGGGCCACAGGCACCTCGTCGTCGTCGTCTACGCGCACTACGTCGTGCTCGCCCTCCAGGGCGTCGGCATCTACGTCTGGCCCCTGGGCAACGGCAAGTTCGCCGTGACCCCGCGGCTCCGGCGCATCTTCGCGCGGCGCGCGGCCGACGGCGCCGCGGAGCAGCAGATCTACGACGTCGACGAGAACGAGTCTCAGGGCGGGCGCCTCTACCTCAACCTGGAGACCTACGCCGACGACGCCGACGCCGACAAGCCGTTCGTGCTCCGGCTCCTCGTGGACTTCGTCGACGCCGGCGGCCGGCGGACGACGCCGTTCCGCGCGGGCTACGCGCCGCCGAGGGTGAGCCTCGACGCGCTCTCGGACCCGCGGCCGGACCGCGTGCTCGAGCTCGACCGGTCGGCCGCGGCGTCGACCTTCGACGGCGTCTTCGCCGTGCGCAAGCGGAGCGCCGTCGTCTACCACGTGACCGTGCCCGCGGCGGTCGTGCTCGGGCGCCACGTGCTCACCCTCGAGAGGGCGAGGCCCGCGCGGACGCCGTCGGGCGCGGGCCGGCGCCGGTCGGGCGACCTCGAGCGCGCGCTGCTCGACGACGACGACGACGCGACGCTCGCGGAGGCCGTCCCCGTGACCATCTCCGACCCGGACTTTGAGCACCGGAAGCTCGTGCGTCTCGAGCAGGCGCTGCGGGCCGTCGAGGCCAAGGTCGAGACGCTGGCGCCGCAGGTCGCCGACATCTTCGAACGACTCGGCGAGGACGACCCGGCCGGCTTCACGCCCCACGGCCACGAGTACTACGTCCTCGTGAAGATGCGCGTCGTCGGCGTCGCGACGTCGTGCGCGGCCATCGCCTCCGGCATGGTCAACGACGCGTCCGGCGGCGGCAAGGCGTCGCAGCGGCTCATGCAGGCGACGAGCGCGATCTCCTTCCTCGGCGAGCACAGCGGCCTGCCCTTCGCGGGCTGGGCGACACTGCTCGTCTGCGGCGCCGCGGACGCCTTCGTCGAGAACGACAAGGCGAACCGCGTCGAGCGCGTCCAGGACGTGTTCCGGACGCCCGCGCGCGCGGAGGCGCTCGCGGGCCGCGTCGCGCGCGCGGCCGCGACGCGCCTCGAGGCCGACCTCGCCGCCGCCGCGGACGAGGACGCGGCGCGCGACCGCGCGGACGAGACGCGGCGCGCAAAGGCCGCGGAGGAGACGGGCGTCCTCGCGCGGCTCCGGCGCGCCAAGGACGCGCTCGCCAAGGCGCTCGTCGCCGAGCCCGACACCAAGGTCCGGGAGCGCGCCGAGGACGACGCGGCGGCGATCCTCGAGTACGTCATGTCCGGCGCGCTCGAGGCCGCGCGCGGCGCCGACGACGACGTCGTTCGAGCGCTCGCGGAGCGCGTCGCGCCGACGGCGGGCGCCGCGCCCGAGGCCGAGCTGCCCCGGCCGTCCGTCGGCGCCGCGCCGCCCGGGACCGCGCCCGTCGTCGCCGTGGGCAACAGCGCCATCGGCGACTACGACGACGCGCTCATGTTCCTCCGGTCCGGCACGGCCTTCGTCAAGGCGGGCTTCGGCGGCGTCGCGCACTACGCGTGCACGCTCTGGCTCGCCGTCGAGGGCGGCGGCATGCAGCTCCGCTGGTCGCGGAACACGTCGGGCAAGGTGTCGTTCATGGATTTGGGCGACGTCGTGCGCGTGGGCCTCCTCGGCTCGCGGAGCGTCGTCGTCGAGGCGGCGGGCGACCGCACGAAGAAGTTCAAACTGGCGCGACCGGGTTTGGCGCAGCAGTACCGCGCCTGCCTCGAGCTCGTCCTCGCCGCGCGGCGCGGCGCGGACGCCGTGTAATCGCGAGCGAGGACCTCGCCCGCCTCGAGCTCGGCGCGGACGCCGCGTAATCTCAGAAAAATTGTTAGGCGACGGCGCACGCGTCCTGGGCCTCCGGCCCCTCGTCCGGCGCGGCGACGAGCGGCGCCGCGGGCTCGACGGCGACGTCGTCGACCGCGACGTCGTCGACCGCGGCGGCCGCTTCGACGCCGGCGTCGCCGCCGACGGGGGACGCCGGCGGCGGCACCTCGACGTCGCGCGCCGCGGCCTGTTGCTTGTTGATCTCCTGCCAGTTCTTCCGGAGCACCGCGAGGAGCGGCGCGTCCGCCGGCGCGTGCGTCATGCCGCGCTTCCAGGCGACCAGCAGGAAGACGCCGATGCCGAAGGCCTCGACGATGCCGTAGTAGAGCGGCACGCCGACGGCGCGCGACGCCCGGTCGCCCTCGAACATGTTGAGCGCCACGGTCGTCGCGATGCCCGGGTTCTGGTACGCGCACTCCACGGCGACGGCGCAGCGCTCCGGCCCCTCGAGCCGCGCGACCTTCGCCGCCGCGAGCGAGAGCAGGAGGCCGAGCGCGAAGGGCGTCGCGCACGCGACGTAGAACGACGGCTTCTTGTCCCAGATGGGCTCGTCGCGCGAGCTCACGAGCGCGGACGCGGCCATGAGCGCGAGGCCGCTGACCTGCCCGAGCGTGTTGAACGCGTTCCGCGCGCGCGCCGCGCGCGACGCCTTCGCGCCGTCCTCGAGCGCGTACGACGCGAGGAGCCCGGCGCCCACGGCCAGGATGACGACGGCGATGCCCGCGAACAGACCCTCCCAGCGCAGGTCCGACGTCGCGCCGCGCGCGTAGGCCAAGTTGACCCAGATGAGCAGGTTCAACGGTAGAAACGCGACGCTCAGCACCGTCGACGCCGCGGTCATGGCGACGGAGAGCGCGAGGTCCGCGTTGAGGATCGAACACCAGAAGTTCGAGTAGCTCCCGCCGGGCGACGACGTCACCACCAACAGCGTCACGCCCACGAGCTCGCCGAGGTCGAAGGCCTTGACGACGCAGAACCCGATGAACGGCAGCAGGACGAACTGGCAGCAGAGGCCGCAGACGACGCCGCGCTTGTAGCGCTCGCGCTCGCGCCACGCCGCGCGCACGTCCACCGTCGCGCTCAGGCCGAAGACGAGGAAGAAGAGCGGGATGAGCAGCAGGCTGCCCGTCACGGACGGCATGGGCGCGAGCGACGGCGCTCGCTGCCGTGTGCTGCCGGTGGCGTCGCGCGCGAGAGAGCTGCTGCCGAGCTCACAGCCGCTGGCTGCGCCGCCGCGCGACGCACGGTGCAGCGCGAGAATTAATTGCCACTAGCTCTCCCTTGAAAAAGTGCCTCGAGCGCCTCGACGCCAAATGCGAGCTATTGCCGTTGGAATGCTTGTGTCCTTCAAGCTCTGCTCTTGCCAAGGAAGCACCGCTGCACGAGAGTTTTCCGATGTTATGGCTCGGCGTCGGGGCTGCGCGCGCCCCGGGTGGCGGGCCCCGGCTCCCGGTCGCGGCCGCCGCGGCCTCGGCGCGGTGCCCGCGGCCTGCGGTGCGCGCGGGGCAGCCCTCGTCGGCCCGTCGGTGGCGGCGGCGCGATAGGGCTGCCACACGGTGGCGGCCGCCGGGACGAGGACTTCAGCGTCACTGCGGCGACGCGCGGCTGCTCCGACACCCTTTCCGGCGTCTGTGGTGGCCGGGTTCGCGCGTAGGGGCGCGGGGCGGCCCGGACGCCGCTGACTTTTTTTTGGGAATTTTAACGAATGCTCGCACCTACTCAGGCGTGACACTCTGGTTGGCTGGCGCCTGTGCGGCTTTGCTCTCTTCCCACGGACCGGTGCGGCACTTGGGACGACGCCGGGGCGTGGCACTCTGACTGACTGGCGCTGTTTGCTCTCGAGGACTCTGCTGCGAATGTGGTTACGGGCTGGATTGGCACTCGGACAACACCAGGGTTTTTTCGCACTTCGCTTTTCCCAGCCTCCGGCTTTTCTCCCGGTCGGGTTTTCCCGGGGGCGGGGTTTTTCAGCGTCGTGTTTTCGCCCAGTCCTCCGGAAGCTCTTCCCGGGGGGTGCGGTGGCCCCGTCCTCCCAGCCTCGTGTCAAAGGACAAGGCTGTAGTCGACAAAGGGGCGGTGTCAATCCGGTTCCGCATCGTCAACGAGCTCCTGCCCGGGGCAGGACGCCGTCGTATGGCGGTCCCAGGTCGCGGACGAGGTCCCGGCTGCGTACGGACCCCTGCGGCGGTGACACCCCCCTGGGTGGCGGCGAACCGAGAAGGCCGCTCAAGCGAAAGGCGGGCGCCGGGGGGAACTCAGCTCTCTGACCCTGACGGCGGCGTCGGCGCGGTGTCTAGAAACCTCGTGCGTTCTGGCCGTGTCCGGCGCCAATGCTGGATGGAAAACCGGACCCGCCCTGAGTATGGCATGTCCGCGCGGGCCGCGAAGCGAGTCCACGGACTGCGAGTGAGCCCCCGCGCGCCTGGCCCCTCGGAGCTAGATGCCAGCCCGGCTGCTCGTGTTCAGCCGCGGCTAGGCTTGGAGTCCCAGTGCCGCAAGGCCTGGTGCCGCAAACCCCCCTGGGGGAGGCCCTCTAGCTGTTAACCTCTCCTAGCCTAGCACCGCGCGAGTCGGGGCAGCCACCCGCGCCCACGCGCTGAAGAAGCGCGATGGGGGCGGGGCCCGCCCTCGGCGCCCTGATCCTGGCCCTGGCGCTGCCCGGGTGCTGGGGCTGCGTCGCGTTCTCCGAGCGCATCATCACGACGCTGGCCGACGGCGCCGTCTCCGTCTTCGCGATCGACGTCGACGGCGACGGCGACGTCGACGCGCTCTCGGCGTCTTACAACGACGACACGGTCGCGTGGTACGAGAACGACGGCTCCCAGTCCTTCACCAAGCGCATCATCACGAACTCGGCGACCTCCGCCGTCTCCGTCTTCGCGATCGACGTCGACGGCGACGGCGACGTCGACGCGCTCTCGAGCGGCAGCACCGTGGCTGCGTGGTACGAGAACGACGGGTCCCAGTCCTTCACCGAGCACACCATCTCGGCGGGCGCCGCCCGCTCCGTCTTCGCGATCGACCTGGACGGCGACGGCGACGTCGACGCGCTGTCGGCGTCCTACACCGACGACACGGTCGCCTGGTACGATAACGACGGGTCGCAGTACTTCACCGAGCGCTTCATCACGACGCTGGCGGACGGCGCCGTTTCCATCTTCGCCATCGACGTCGACGGCGACGGCGACGTCGACGTGCTGTCGGCGTCCGAGGACGACGACACGTTCGCGTGGTACGAGAGCGACGAGGTCGAGGACGACAACTTCCATTTCTACGAGCACGTCATCACGACGCTCGCGGAAGGCGCTCGCTCCATCTTCGCCATCGACGTGGACGGCGACGGGGACACGGACGCGCTGGCGGCGTCCTACTCCGAAAGCGACGTCGCGTGGTACGAGAGCGACGAGGTCGAGGACGACAACTTCCATTTCTACGAGCGCCTCCTCTCGGCCTCGGCGGACGGACCCATGGCCGTCTTCGCCATCGACGTCGACGGGGACGGCGACGTGGACGCGCTGTCGGCAGCCTATTCGTGCAACTGCGTCGTCCTGTACGAGAACGACGGGTCCCAGTCCTACCGCGTCCGCGCGCAGCTCGTCGTCACGGGCGCGGGGTCCCTCGCGAACGCGGCGCTGCTCCTCGCCGTCGTCGCCGAGGCGGCGCCGACGCCGCGGCGCGCCTTCCTCTGCGTCGCGCTCGGCCAGCGGGCCGTCGAGCTCGCGCTCGCGGCGACGGCCGCGTTCCTGGGCCTGAAGGTCGACGCGAGCTCGGGCCTCTCGGGCGCGGCGCGGCGCGCGCGCGCGTCCGTGCGGCGCCGCGTGTCCGCCGTCGCGAAGGCCGTCCGCCGCTCCACGAAGCCGCTCCGGAAGCCGCCCGCGCCGCCGTCGGCCAAGGTCGTCGAGTTCAACGCCATCTACGCGCGGAGCGCGGGGCGCTTCGCCCGCGAGTCGCCCATCCCGCGCGCGTCGCCGGACCCCCGCGCGTCCGGCCCGGGCCCGAGCCCGCCGCCCTTCGACCTCAGAAACAGTCCGCCCGCGGACGGCGCCGCGTCCGAAGGGCTGCCCGCGGGATGGGAATCGGCGTACGACGCGGCCTCGCAGTGCTTCTACTACCGGTCGCCGGCGCTCGGCGTCAGCCAGTGGGAGCGGCCGGCGCCGAATCGCCGCGCGTCCGCGGGCGCGGCCCTCCGGAAGACGCCCTCGGCGGACGGGGCGGCGCTCCACAGCCCCCGCCGCGGGTCCGTCTAGCGTCGCTCGCCGCATCCGACGCTTCGCCACCACCAAGGTCCCGCCGCGAGCCCCGTCGACGAAACATCCCCGAAACCAAGCTCGCCGGACCTCGCGCCGCTCTCTCAAACACCTCCGTCTTTCGTCTCGCATCCTCCCCCCTTGTCTGCGCCGTCGATCGAACCCCCTTCGCTCTTAGGACGTGAACTCGATGTGGGTCCTGTGGGCCTTGTCGGAGTTGGCCGCGCGGCATCGGGCCGTGTGCTTGTACTCGTCGGCCCACTTGGACGCCATGCCCGGCTGCGCGCCGCGGAACGAGTCCTTGACGAAGGCGCGCTTCGTCATCTCGCCGGCGTGGGGGTCCATGGGCGTCGGCGGCTTGAAGGGGTAGGACGGGTCGAGCTTGACGATCGTGCCCGGGTAGGCGGACTGGAGGTGGCAGCTCCGCCGCGACGGGTAGTGGATGTCCGTGCGGAGCTGGGCCTGCGCCGCGTCGCGGAAGGCCCGCGTGTTCGGGTTCTCCGCCTTGTCGCGGATGCCCACCTGGGACGCGCTCAGCTGCGACGTCGTGACGCCGAAGCCGTTGCGCGTGCGCTTCGTGAGGGCGTAGGACGACTCCGGCGCGACGAAGACCTTCGGGGGGAAGGCCGCGCGGTAGGGGAAGGGCTCCGGGTCGAGGCCGCGCCGGTTCGACAGGGCCGGCGCCTGCGTCTCCTGCTGCGCCTCGAGCACCTGCGACGGCGTCTGCATGCCGCGCTAAAAACCGCGGGGCAGCATCCCATGCAACATTGTATTGTGTGCACCGTTGAAGCCCGTCGAGCCGCTCTACCAAAAAAGGGACCAAAGATGCTACTCGGGGGCTGGCGGCGCCGCCACGACTCACTTCATGCGGACGCGGGGGTTGGCGGAGGGCCCCGTGAGGGCGAGGACGGGGTGGGACTCGTAGACCTCCGTGCCGGCGTCGACGAGGAGCCGCGCGACGGTGCCGCTGTGGGGCGTCCGGATGTCGATGGACGCCTTGTGCGTGTCGACGACGGCGATGGTGTCGTCGGCCGCGACGACGTCGCCGACGGCCACGGTGAACTCGTAGAGCTCGCCCATCTCCGCGTGGAAGATGTTGTCGCCGATGAACGGCGTCCGCACGATGATCCTGGACGGGGCGCAATTCAGCGACGCGGCGCGACGATCGAAGGGCTCGCGACGCATGCCTCGCGCGCGCCTCTCGCCGACGCCTCGGTCCCCGGTAGCGCGCAGCGCTCTCTCGTCAAAGACGCCGGCGCTTCACTCGTCGTCGTTCTTCGTAATCGCCGGGAGGCCCGAGTCCTCGAAGGTCGCCAGCGCTCGAACGATCGGGCGCCGCGCGTGGGCTGCGGCGACGCGCGCGCTCGTTCGAAGAGCCATCATCCTCTGCACGCAGCACCGACGACGAGCTTGGCTGCGGCCAAAACTGCAATGCGCGCATGCGGGAAGCTCGCTCGCAAATCGTCAATGCCGGCCTCGCGATGAAATCAATGTTTGATGTTTGCCCCCAGCCACGCGGGCTGGGTGGCCCACCAGCGGCAGCCCGCGCCCGGCCTCGGCCCGCTGGGTGGCCCCAGCGGCAGCCTCTGGGTGGCCATGACCGATTACCCGCGCTACGAGCGGCTGTCGGCGGCGATGGGCGAGCACTACGCGTCGGCGTTCCAATACCTGGCGCCGGGCTTCTGCGAGGCGCAGCCGGAGCTCCGCGAGGACGTCGGCGGCGTGCGCGAGATTTTATGCCACGGGGAGCCCGACGCGTCCGGCGTCGAGCTCGTCATCTACGTCGACGGCGACGTCGACGTGAGCTCGCGGAAGAGCTTCGACCAACTCGTCGCCTTCCACCGGAGGATCACCGCGGACCTGGGGCCGAACATGCCCGTGCCGATTCTGGAGACCGCCGTCGACGTCGACGCGTACTTCGCCGTGCTCATGGCCTCCGACGTGCCCTGGCCCCAGCTCGCGCTGCAGTTCGTGCGCGACGGCGCGACGGCGGCGAGGCGCGCGAGTCTGGCGCTGCCCGAGTCGCCGCGGCCGACGGTCGTCCGCGCCGTCGGCGAGCTCGACGAGCCCTTCCGGCCGCCGTCGCCGCCGCGCCTCAGGCCGCGCGACTGGCAGCGCCTCGTGCTGCGCCGCGCGCCGAGCGGCGAGGCCTACGTCCTCCGGCTCTACGCGCCCGTGGCGCTCTTCGCGTTCGCCTACGCGTCCTTCCTCACGTCCCTCGGCGCGCTGCGGCCCGCGGACTGGGAGAACGGCGCCTGCTCGCTGGCCATCGTCACGGCGCCCCTCGTCGTGACCATCGCGTTGGCGCTCGGGTCCTTCTTCGCCGACGAGGCGCAGGAGGCGGAGCGGGAGTAATCTATGTGGAACCTTACCAGCCGCAGCACGCGACGGGGCAGGCGACCTTCGCCTTTTTCTTTTTGCCGTCGCCGTCGCGGCCCTTCTTCTTGCAGCGGCTCTTCGTCTTCTTCTTCGCCACCCACGCGCAGTCGCGCGTCGCCTTCTTCGCGAACCAAGAGGCGTCGTCCTCGTCGCAGGAGCAGCACGCCTCGGCGCACGCCGCTTCCGCGTCTTCATTGCAGCGCGCCGCAGGCTTCTTGGAGACCCAAGCGCAGTCGCGTTTCTTCTTCTTGAAGAACCAGTCCGCATCGTCGGCGCACTCGTCGCCTAGAAGACGCCGAAGATCAGAGCGAGCGTCGCCGCGGCTACGAAAGAGCGCGCGCGTCCCGCGCCGTCGGCCTCTCCTTCCTTCGTCGGCGCCGGCGTCGCGTCCTCTCCCTCGTTCGGCGTCGGCGCGGGGGACGCGGCGGCGTCGCCCGTAGAAGCGCAGCCGTAGACCTCGACGGTCCGCGCGCCCGTGTTGCCGCCCGTCGTCGACACGGCGGCGAAGGTCAGGCTCTCGGCGCCGTCGGCCACGACGTCGCAGGCGTAGAGCGCGGTCGCGTCCGGGAGCGCGCAGGTCGCCAACACCTCGCCGTCGGCGGAGCGCACCTCGTAGGTCTGAATCACCGCGGAGTTCGTCATCGACCGGGAGTAGAAGCCGACGCCGACGACGTCCGTCGCCGAGGGCAGCGCGATGGTGATCGACGCGCCGTCGCCGTCGCCGTCCGACGACCACTGGGAGCTGTCCGACCCGTCGATGGCCTTGTCCGCGCCGTAGGACGACGACGACGAGCCGCCGCCGTAGTTGGACGACACGGCGGCGACGGAGGCGCCGGCGGACGCGAGCGCGACGTTGTTCGACGCGCAGTCGCCCGAGCCGTCCTCGGCCTCGGGGGTGGTAGTCGTCGTCGCCGCGGCGTGAAACACGCCCAGCGACGCGTCGACCCAGGACGCGCCGATCGCGTAGGTCGTCGCCGGCTCCGCGGCGAGCGCGCCCGACGGCGCCGCGGCGACGGCGTCGGCCCGCTGGATGCCGTGGCGCGCGCCGGACGAGTCGGCCTCGCCGAAGGGCGCGTCGTCGGGCGTCGCGTGGAAGAACGCCGCGGCGACGACGGCGCTGCCGATGTCGGACAGCGCCAGCGCGACGGCGTCGCTCGTCGCCGTCGCCGCGACGTCCGCGGCGTCGCTGGCCGCGTCGCCGGACGACGCGAAGGCCGCGGCGTCGGTTTTGACTAAACCGTCGCCGCCGCTGAGCGCGTAGGTCGCCGACACGTAGACGCCGCGCCCGAACGGCAGGAACGCGAAGAAGCGGACCTCGCCGTCGGATTCGCCCGCGGCCAACGCGACGTCGTGGTCGAGCGACGGCGTGCCCGGGTCCATGGCTTCGCTGAAGTAGAGGGAAAACGCGCCGGCGCCGGACGCGCGGAACGCGGCGCCGCACGCCGTCGCGAGCGGAGTGGTGGCGGACAGCACCGTCGCGCCGTCAACAACCGCCGCCGACGGCGCCGACGCGTCGAAGAAGCCGTCGGCGGACGCGGCCGTGAAGTCGTAGACTTCATCTGTCGAGGCGACGACGGCCGCGAAGGCGAGCACGCGCAGCAGCCTCATTGTGGTATTGCGCGCTTCGTGCGAAATGTGAAGCTGCGCGTCGTACGCCGCGCCACGGCCTCGTCAGCGTCTTCGTGAGCGCGCGACTGCCAGTCGTCCGCGCGCGAGCAGGCGTCGACCGCGACCTCGAGCACGCACCGGAGAGCGCCGCCACCTCGATGCCAGGCCCTGCTCCTTCAACCTGTTATTCAACATAGCGTCGGCACAGCCTTACAGGTCGCGGTCGCTGCGCCAAAACGCGATGATGTGCGAGAAGACGTCGTCCGGGGCCTGGAAGAAGAGGCGCTCGTGTGCGGGGACGCTCGACGGCGCGGTCGCGCGGCCGCTCTCGCGGAGCGCGGGGAGCTCCCGGCGGAGCGCGAGCAGCGCGGCGCGCGGCGCAGCGATGTAGGCCGCCCAGCTGCCAGCGGAGCGCACGTCAGCGAGAAAAAATGCAGCCTGTGTGTAGCCGCGGCGCCGTGCATAGGCCTCGGGGGTTTCCCCGGCGACATCAGTCGCGTCGAGCGACGCCCCGAGACTGAGCAGGCGCTTACACGCTGCGATAGGCTGCATGTCTCTGACATACATGGAGTTGACAGCCTCATGCAGCGTGGTACGACCGTTGTAATCCACAGCATCGATGCGAGCGCCCGCATCGAGCAGCATGCTCGCAACGTCAAACCCGCCGTGCGCGAGGGCCGCGTGCAGCGCTGACTTACCACCTGCAGGCCTGGTACGAATCCGGTCCCCTACGCGATAATTTATGTCGGCGCCGTGGTCGATAAGCCACCGCAAGGTCGAACGACAGCTGAGAAGCGATGCACAATACAGGCGAGTGACTCCTTCATCGTGTTCATCGATGACGTAAACACCGTGCGCACTCTTTCCGGCGCGACAGAGACTGTCGACGTCGCGCTCGCCAGCGGCGTACCAGGCGCGCGTCTTGTTGAGAAAGTCTGTGTCGTGGGGGTCCATCACGGCCGCGGCGCCGCGGCAAATCTGCGGCAAGCGAGATATTGAAGACCGCCAGCGGCCTCGTCCGCGATCCTCGACGCCGCTGCGACGTGCGCACACCCGCATACCCGCAGCAAACGATGCGCGCAGTCACTCTATTGATCGCGCTGCCCGCGGCGCTGCACGCGTTCCGCGCACCGACGCCCCTGCTGCGCCCGAACATTGCCGTCGCCGCAACCCCCGTCAGCGAGCTCCTCGCGGGCGAGGTCGCGGTCGGCGACGCGTCGATGACGCGGGCGGCGGTCGTCGCGGACCTCGCGGCGCGCACGGAGGCCTGCCGCGCGCCCGCGGCGGACGTGCTGCCCTACGCCACGGACGACGAACGCGACGCGTGGTTGCTCCGATTCTGCGCCGAGGCCGAGGACGTCGACCTCGACGCCGTCGCGGCGCGCGTCGAGGCGAGCGTGGCGTGGCGCCTGGGCGAAGGCAAACCCATCGTCGAGGCGGCGCGCGACGCCGTCGCGGCGGCCACCGCGACGCCGGGATCGTGGGACAACGGGCCCGTGCTCGCCGCCGCCCCTCATTCCGCCAAGATCGAGCCCTGGGTGCCCGCGGGCAAGCTCATGACCATGCGCGGCGCCGGCGGCCTCGTGTACGCCATCCGCGCGGGTCTCATCGACGACAAGGGCCTCATGGCCGACGTCGACGCGGACGCCCTATCGTCGTTCTTCCTCTACGCCAAGGCGGTCAACGAGCGCGTCGTCGCGGCGCTCACGGCGCGGACCGGCGAGCTGGCGACGGTCGTCACGGTCAACGACCTCCAGGGCGTCGACCTCTTCGGCGACGCGTCGTTCCGCAACGCGCTGAGCGCGGCGTCGAAGCAGGGCGACGCGATCTTCCCGGGCCTCTCGGGCCCCACCGTGCTCCTCAACCTGCCGCGCCTCCTCGGGGCCCTCGTCAAGCTCTTCACGCCCCTCTTCCCGCCGGCCGTGCGCAAGAAGCTCAAGTTCGACAGCTTCGACATCGGCGCCGAGGACGCGCTCCTCGACGCCGGCGGCAAGGCGAAGCTCCTCGCCTACCTCGACGACACGCTGTAAGACTGTGAGACCATGTTCCGGGCGCCGACGGCCATCGGCCGACGGTGGTTCTTTCGTGCAGCCTGCGCGCATCAGCGGAGAGACTTGTTGAGAGCCGACGCGCGCAGCTTCAGCGATCGAGCCGACCTTGCATCTCGCTTGAGGGTGCTGATCTCGGTGCATCAGTCGAGGTGCAAGTCGCGCGTCGCCGTGGTCGCATCCACGGCGCTGGCGGCGCCCTCGCGACGATGAGACGCCTCGCAGGGCTCGGCGCATGGATCCTCGCCGTCGCGTCCGGCGGCTGGATCGATCAGGACACGCCCGAGGCCTCTCGCACGACGGAGGGCTACGCGCTGAACGGCACCCACGACCTCGTCTTCAGCGACGAGCGCGCGCCCCGCGCCCGCCACACAAAGCCGCGCGCGCGCCTTTAGACCCGCCTTCCCGCGCAGGTTCGAGGCCGAGGGCCGGACGTTCCGCGACGGCGAGGACCCGCGGTGGACGGCGATCCACAAGAACGACTACACGAACAAGGCGCTCCAGTTCTACCACGAGGACTACGTGACGACGTCCGGCGGGTCCCTAAATATTACGACGACGCCGGAGCACACGAAGTTCGAGAGCCACCAGATCAAGGACAAGAAGCACGTCCGCGTGACCGTCAAGAAGACGTACCGGTCCGGCATGGTCCAGGGCTGGAACAAGTTCTGCTTCACGGGCGGCATCCTCGAGATCCGCGCCAAGCTGCCGGGCCGCTACGACGTCGGCGGCCTCTGGCCGGGCATGTGGATGATGGGCAACCTGGCGCGCGCGACGTACGTCGCGTCGTCGAACCACATGTGGCCCTTCAGCTACGAGGCGTGCGCGCGCAAGGACCAGCGCCGCCAGGAGATCAACGGGTGCATGCCGCGGCCCCACTTCGGGCTGAACCCGGACCAGGGCCGCGGCGCGCCGGAGATCGATCTGTTGGAAGTCATGCCGGGGGAGGGGTGGCTGCCCTGGGGCCTGAAGAAGCCGTACTACTCGACGTCGCTCCAACTGGCGCCCGCGGCGCCCATCCGCCCCTTCAACGGGGCCAAGCCCGCGCCGGGCACGTGGTACGAGCATCTGCGCTACGGCCCGAACACGTCGCAGAACGTCTTCTTCTACGGCATGCGCCTCGACCACGGCTCCGACGAGGAGTCCTACTGGGCCGACGCGGTGTCCGGCAACACGCCCATCGGCGCGAGCGAGTTCGAGGACTTCCACACCTACCGCCTCGAGTGGAAGCCCAAGGGGTCCATCGACTGGTACAAGGACGGCAAGTTCCTCTACGGCATCGACGACGCGTCGATCTCGTCGCTGACGGGCGGCCAGGTGCCCGACGAGCCCATGTACCTATTGCTGAACACGGCCATGTCGAGCACCTGGGGCTTTCCCGCGCCCTGCCCGCCGGGCTGCGCCTGCGACTGCCAAGACTGCGCGGAGGAGAAGTGCGCCTGCGGCATCGCGCCGGGGTTCTGCGCGTCGCTGCCCGCGTCGTTCCTCGTCGACTACGTGCGCGTCTACCAGGACCGGGGCGACCGGGCCGCGAGCCTGGGCTGCGACACGGCGAGCCACCCGTCGAAGGCCTTCATCGAGGCCCACGAGCACCGCTACGTCGACCCGGACCGCCCCGGCCGCGCGCCGCTGGAGCGCGTCGCGACGGGCGGCGGGCGCTGCGCGACCGACGACGACTGCGGCGGCCGGCCGGCGGGCGCCTGCCGCCGGCGGCGCTGCGCCTGCGGCGCGGGCCGCGCCGGGCCCCGCTGCCTCGCGCCCGCGGGCGCGGACGACGCGCGCCGCGGCCGCGGCCGCTTCTGGCGCCTCCCGGCGCCCGCCGTGCCGCCGCAGCTCGCCGCCACGGGCCTCGCCCTCGTCGCGGCCTTCGTCGCCCTCGCCCGCGCGCGCGCCCTCGCCTTCAAGGCGGAGCGGAGGAGATAACGCTCGGAAACCGTTACGCGGTCGCGGTGTTGTGGCGGCGTCATCGGCAGCGCGCGGCCGTGCATGCTTGCTGGTAGGCGATGCCCATGCTGTTGCCCATGCCGACGCCCTCCGGCGGTCTGTCCGTGAGGCGCTCGAACAGGTGGCCGGCCTTGTCCCGGAGCCAGATGTCGATCGGGACGGGCGGCCCGCGCTCCGCGGCCGCGAGGCGCAGAATCTTCCGCGCCGCGACGTCCGAGACGCAGTACGCGTGGGCGCCGACTTCGAAGCCCGGGACCCAGCCCCCTTTGTGCTGGAAGTAGGGCACGCGCGACGGGTGCCAGTCCCCGAGGTCTCTCGTGAAACTGCCGAGCTGCCACGCGGACGCGGACGCGTGCCGCCGGAGTAAATACCATTGGAACAGCACCTTGAAGTCCGGGTGGAAGACGACGTCGTCCTCGAAGAGGCAGCTGCAGGGCGCGGCGCCGCGGCGCACCGCGCGCTCGAGCATCGCGAAATGGCCGACCGTCAAACGGCTCGCGGACCCGCCCGAGCTCGTCGTCCGCGAGTCTTCTTCGTTGAAGGCGGGATATCGCGCCATAGTCTCCGGCGACGGATAGGAGCTGTCGAACACGGTGTAGTTCGCTCCGATCCTCGCGAACTCGCCGGCGAGACGCGCGAGGCGCCGGGGATCGTGGCCGCCGGAGAGGACCATGTAGTTTGTTCCATCGCGCCGTGACATGCAGCGGGGCAGTTGGGCCGATACGCTACAGATGGCGACGGCGATGAAGAGGAGTTTGCTCTTGTTTATCATCGCCTCGAGTGCGCAGCACAGACCCAGCAATGCGAGAGTCAGCTGATCGCTAGCTTGTGGTAATTTTGCTCGACCGCGGCATGCGCGCCGCCCTCTTGGCGGCCGCCTTGGCATTCGCCGTCGCCGAGGACGCCCCATTGGAGTGTCCGTGCGGCCTCGACAAAAGCCCGTGGCCCGCGAGCCCACCGACGACGACCGGCGAGCTCAAATGGTTGCATATTCCCAAAGCCGGCTCCTCCTTCGCCGTGACCATGGTGCAGACGCCCGCGGCCTGCGCGACAGTCTCGTCCGCGGGTCTAGCCGCGGCCATGCGGTACGTCCACCCCCCCGCTCCCTCGAAACGGACCCGCGCCCCCCGCGCAGCGCGTGCGACGACCCGACGAAGCTGAAGAAGAAGGACCGCCGCGTGCAGCGCGCGTGCCTCCTCGAGGTCCTCCGCGGTCGGAGCCCGGCCTGCGCCGACGCGGCGGCGAAGCTCTTCGTCGGCCACGACCCCCTGCCGACGCGCGGGCCCTCGGGCGCCTACGCGGGCATCTTCCGCGAACCGGTCCGTCGCCGCGTCCCGAGCCTTCCCGAGACATTTCCCCCTATGGCCGCGCCCATATAGGTCGCGCGGCTGAAGAGCCTCGTCAAGCACACCCGGGCCGCGGGCTACGTGCCCGGGGGCATGAAGCGAAACAACCTCTTGGACAACGGCACGGCGACGCTCGCGGCGTTCGCGAAGAAGCCCGCGCTGTTGGGCTGCGCCGCGCGCATGCTCAACGGCGCGCACTGCGTGTCGCCCCTGCCCGTGGGAGACCGCGACGTGGCACTCGCGGAGGAACGCGTGCGGACCATGCGCTTCGCGGGGCGCGGCCGCCGGCGTCCGTTCGTCGTCGTCGAGGCTCGCGAGCGAGAGAAACTGGAGAGACGCGCGCCGTCGTAGGCTCACGGAGGAGTGGGTCGCGTCCGTGTGCCTCTTCCACCGGGTCCTGGGCCTGCCGCGGCCGAAGCGCGCGCAGGCGCTCAACACGCGCGCGAACGCCGGCGCGGCCGACGCGCCGCCGGACGAGGTCGCGCGGCCGGACGACGCCGCGGACGCGCGCGTCTACGCGGCCGCCGCGGCCAAGTTCGCCGACGACCTCGAACGGCACGGCGCGGACGGCGCCTGCGTCGCCGCCGCGCGCGAGCGCGGGCGGAACGCGCGCCGACGCTACGAAAACGCCGAGGACCCGCGCGAGCGGCACGAGGCCCTCGCGCGCACGAGGCCCTGAGCGGCACAAGGAAATCCGCGAGCGCTTCGCGGCGGCGGAGGCGCGCCTCGCGCGCGCGACGGCGGACTACTAACTAATTCGATACTAGTTAGATGCCACGAAACGCCCTCCTCCCAAACTCGTTACAAGGTGGACCGCCCGCGCTTCGACGCTACACTCGTTAGAAGATGGACCACCAGAGCGCGGCCGCGAGCGCCGGGAGCACCGCGAGCAGCACCGACGCGACGCCCGGCCGCCGCGCGGACGACGGCGCCGGCGCCGGCGCGGCCGCGGTCGCGTCCTTCGGCGGCGCGTCGCGCGCGAGGCGGCCGTCGAGATTGGCGAGGGCGTCGCGGAGCGCCGGCCGGCCCGCGGCGTCGGCCTCGCGGAGCACGCGCAACACGACGCCGTCGACGTGCCACCGGTGCGCGGCGCCGATTCGCACCTCGAAGCGGGCACCGACGAGCGACCGGTCGAAGGGCACGAGGACCTTCGCGTAGGTCTTCGTGTGGCAGACGAGCCGCGCGCCGCCGTCGGCGACCTCCGCGTGCGCCGCGCAGGCGACGACGGTGCCGACGAGGCCGTCGTAGGGCCGGAACGTCTGCGTCAAAGCCGAGAGGCGCCGCGACCGGTCCTTGACCGTCGCCGTGTGGACGCGCTTCATGGACGCCGCGGGCGTGCCCGGCCGCGCGTAGAACTGGGAGATGTTGATGAGGCCGAAGGCGTAGTCCTCCACCAGCGCGTACGTCGCGTCGAAGTCGTCGTCCGTCTCGCCGGGGAAGCCGCAGATGACGTCCGTCATCAGGCTCAGCCCGCCGTCGACGCGCGCCGCGAGGCCGTCGACGACGGCGCGGAAGTCGGCTACCGTGTACTCGCGGTTCATGCGGTCCTTGGCCAGGACCGCGTCGGACCCCGATTGCACGGGCACGTGGAGGAACGCGTAGACCTGCGCGTGGTTCAGGCACCGGCCCAGCACCTCGAGCTGGTCGAGGACGTAGGGCGGGTTCGTCATGCCCACGCGCAGCATGCCGTGGGGGTGCGCCTCCAGCACGGGCAGCAGCGCCTCGAGCAGCGCGCCGAGCGACGTGCCGAGGTCGATGCCGTACGCGCCCGTGTCCTCGCTGCTGAGCCAGACCTCGCCGACGCCGTCGGCGAGGGCGCCGTCGACGCGCGCGACGATGTCCGCCAGCGCGTAGGACCCCAGGGCGCCCCGCGCGTGGCGCGTCTTGCAGTACGCGCACGCGCCGAGACACCCGCTTGAGAGCGGCACGATCTCGACGAGCGCGTTCGCGCGGACCTTGGGCAGCTCGAGGGACGGCAACGGGCCGGAGCCCAGCGCGTGGAAGGTCTCGCCGCGCAGCGCCGCGGCCACGGCCTCGTTGACGCGGCCGATCTGCTTGATGCCCACGGACGACGCGCCGTCGAGCTCCGGCGGCTTCCGGCCGCCCTGCTTCTTCACCAAGCCCCGCTCGCCCTGGGGGATGCAGCCGGACACGACGACGGCCTTGCCGTCCTTCATGCCCCGGCGCACCTCCTTCATGAACGCCGCCTGGCTCGGGTCCTTGACCGTGCACGAGTTGACGACCCACGCGTCCGCGGCGTCCGCGTCGGCCCTGTCCGTCGACACCTCGTAGCCCTCGGACGCGAGGAGGCCGCACATGTACTCGCTGTCGCTCACGTTGTGGCTGCAGCCGAAGGTGCGCACGTAGACGCGCTTCGTCTCCGGCAAAAAGGCGGGGCCGCCGTCGGCGCAGGGCTTCCGGCGGAACGACGGCGCCTTCTGCTGGTTCTTGCGGCGCGGGAAGATCTGCGCGGGCCGCGCCGCGCGGCCGCTGTCCGTCGGGTCGCCGTGCTTCGCGATGTCCTCGATGTCCATGATGCTGCTTCTATGAGCTGTCGATCGCCATGCTGCCGCGGCGCGGCACCTTGGGTGCATGTTCGAAGATGTTGAAGTCCAGTAGCCAGCCCTCGAGCGGGTCGTAATGGACGAGGTCGTCGATGCCGAAGCCCTGGAACGGTCCTTTCTGGCACAAACGCGTGCGTGGTATGCCGCTGGTGACCGCGACATCGACAGTCTCTGTCGCGTCGAGCTGCTCGATGCGTACAGCCGTCATGCGCATGTTCGTGTCTACGAAACAGGACCAGATCAGATTCTAGAGACGCGCCTTGGTCTTGCATGCCATTTCGCTTGGCGCAAGGCCATGCGGTGGCTCATCGACCGCGGGGCAAACGTAAATCTTGCCTATTCATCATATCACCGGACGCCGCTGCTCAGGGCCATTTCGGCCCGAAATTCGGGCGGCTGCTTCGACGCTGTTATCACGCTGCTCGACACGGGCGCCCGCATCGATGCTGTGGACGTGTTCGGTCGCACCGCGCTGCACTACGCGTTCTTCGGCACGGGGGTGTCCGGTCAGCTCCTCGCAGTGTGTAAGCTCCTGCTCAGTCGCGGCGCGCCGTTCGACGCGACCGATACCGAAGGCCACGACGCCATGGACTATGGGCGATTTAGTCCTTACGCTCCTGCGCTGGCCTTGAATTTGATCGCTGACGTGCGCTCCGCTGGCGGCTGGTCGGCCTACATCAACGCGCCGCGCGCCGCCCTGCTCGCGCTCCGCCGGGAGCTCCCCGCGCTCCGCGAGAGCGGCCGCGCGACCGCGCCGTCGAGCGTCCCCGCACACGAGCGCCTCTTCTTCCAGGCCCCGGACGACGTCTTCTCGCACATCATCGCGTTTTGGCGCAGCGACCGCGACTTCTAGAAGTCTCGAAAGCCCTTCCGACGCTTGATGCTATGTTGACGCTCATGTTGACCCGTGCGAGCAGCTCGGCTTGAAGAAGCCGGAGCTCCTCGTGTGAAGCACGCCGGCGCCGTCGTCGTCGTCCCAGAGCTCCTCGTGAGAAGCACGCCATCGTCGTCGTCCAAGCACAGCTCGAGAAGCGCGGCTCGAGGTTGCAGAAGCCATCGTCGTCGTCCAAGCACAAAGCCATGCGCGTCGCCGTCCTGCTCCCCTGCGCCGCGCTCGCCCTCGTGGCGCCGCCCCAGCAACGCCGCATCGCACCGCAACGCGCCGCGACGCTCGACTCGCTCGAGGGCGTGGAGGCCCCGAAAGTGAAGGTCGACACGACGTCGGGCCTGCGGGGCCTCGTGGCGACGGCACCCATCAAGGCCGGCGAGTCGCTCGTGAGCGCGAAGCGCGAGCAATCCGTGGAGGTGACGGACCTCGAGGCGAAGACCGCGCCGCGCGATCTCCGGAAATTGGGCTACTGCGACGACGAAGAGTGGAAGGCGGTAGGTTGGGAGGGCCGCCTCGCGCTCCTGCTCCTGCGCGCGAAGGTGGAGAAGGATGCGACCCTTGCGCCCTGGGTCGCCGCGCTGCCGGAGGCCTACGACGACGTGCCCGCGTTCGGCTGGAGCGACGCGGACGTGTCTTCCTGTGCGTACGCGCCGCTGCGAGAGACGGTCGCGGGCCAGCGCGACACCTGGGCCAGGGCGGAGGCGGCGCTCCTCGGGAAAGACCAGCGGCGCCCCTACGGCGCCGCGGACCTGCGCTGGGCCCTCGCGACGGTGCTGACGCGGTCGTTCTCGGGCCCCTTCGAGGGCACGTCGCCGAAGCAGCGCTTCGCGCTCATCGGCTTCGCCGCGTGGCTGGCCGTCGGCTACGTCGTCGGCGGCTTCGGCGACGCGTCGACGGCGGCCCAGGGCTTCGTCGCCGTGTCGCTGGGGTCCGTGCTCTCGGACTACCTCGTGTCCAAGGACGAGAGCCTGGACCTCCAGCGCCACGTCTTGGCGCCGGGCGTCGACTTCCTCAACCACGTCGGCGCGGCGGCCGAGGACGACGCCGCGGCGTCCTACGAGTACTTCGCCGACGCCTTCGCCGTGAACGCGCACCGCGACTACGACGCGGGCGACGAGGTCCACGCGTCCTACGGCAAGAAGTCGAACGCGCAGCTCGTCGCGAACTACGGCTTCCTCGAGCCGGGCAACCCCTTCGACGACTACGTCTTCCCCGACGCCTACCCCTTCCCGCCGCTGCGCGGCGCCCGGGTGACGCGCACGGGCTTCGACGAGGCGACGGCCAAGGCCGCGGTCGCCTACAGCGGCTCCACGGACGCGGCGCGCGAGAACCTCGTCAAGGCCTGCAGCGCGCAGGCCGCGGCGATCCGCGCGACGCCCAGCGGCAACGGCCTGCTCGACGCCCTCGGCGAGGAGCACGCGGCCATCCTCGCCGCGCTCGCGGACGCGACGGAAAAGTCGGCGATGCTCGGGTGAGGGCGCGTCCTAAGTGTGCATGGTTAGAAAGGCGGGCGTTCGGACGCCGCGCGGCCGGAACCGGCCGCGCGGCGTCGTCATGACGGGCCGCGTCCATCTTTCAGGCGAGCATGTCGAGGGCGTCCCGCAGCAGCGTCGGCGCGTCGTGGAGCTTGGAGACCATGGCCTCGGGCACGGCGTCGACGCCCCCGGCCGCGCCGACGAGCGCGCAGGCCACGGCCGCGCGGCTCGACGAACAGCCGCCGAGGAGGATCGACTCGCGCGCGCACTCCGCGAAGGCGTCGGGCCCATCGCCGGCGCGCACGGCCCGGAGCACGGGCAAAGCGCACGACGGCGGCATGTATCACGCGATCATCTTCCGCGCCGGCTTGCCGTCGAAGCCGAGCTGCTCCCGGAGCGCGGCGACGGCGCATTGGAAGCCCGGCTCGCCGCCGCAGGCGAGGCAGTCGTCGAGCGTCGCCCGCGCGGCGGCGTCGACGGCCGGCGACGCCGCGGCGGCGGCGACGGCGGCCCGGGGCGTCGTCGCCGCGCCGGCGACGAGCCGGGCGACGGCGACGGCGACGGCCGCGGCGTGGGACCGCGCGACGGGGCTCCGCTGCGTGACGCGCGCCGCGGCGTCCGCGACGGCCGCGACCTCGTCGTCGCCCTTGCCGTCGACGGCCGCGCGCGCGGCGACGGGGATCGCGCGGAGCAGGGCGTCCGCGGACGCGTCGGCGTCGTCGACGGCGCCGTCGAGGAAGCGCTGGATCGTGCCGTGGCGCCAGGGCCCCTCGAGCGGCGGCGCGGCCGCGCGCTGGTCGTCCCGGTACGCCGCCCGCTCGTTCCGCGTCGCCGTCGACGCCTCGTAGTCCGGCGCCGTCATGCGCTCGCGCAGCGCCGCCGCGACGTCGTCGCCGTCGAACGCGCCGCGGGTCCGCGCGAGCGACGCGACGACGC